ACGTTATTCTCTTGTTAATTATCTGTCTGCTGTTGTTCCGTAAAAAGAAACACAAAATGTGCCGAACTGGCCCTGAGCATGTGAAGGCAAACACAACAAGAGAGGATGAGAGGATGAGTAATGTTTATACAGCACTGTATTCCTATTAGTGCTGTGAACCGGCTGCTCCTCCGCTCTGCCTTCCCTGATGAGAACCACATGTTGAACGAAGGCCTGCACCTGAGACACCGCGGCCACAGGCCTCCTCTTCCTCTACCCTCACACTCTGCACAGATTATCACCAGAGAGCCAGGAGAGTTGTTGAAGAGGCTTGGCATGATGGCCAGGAGCAGTTTATTTTGCCGCCTGCCTCTGGCTCTGCCCTGATTGAATATACTTCGTAAGGAATGTTTGGCATCCTGATTTGGGAAGTGAAATCCTCTCCAAGTCTCATTAACATAAAGAGGACCTATTGTGCTTTTTGGGTGTGTTATGTAGGTTTTTGTGCATGTAAATAGTTTGCAAAGGCTTTCCAAAGTTTGCTCCATTTGCAGTTTCTCTCCCACACACTCCCCCCTGCCGGAAACGCCTCAATCGGAGTCCTTTGTTTACTTCGTAACAGAATGACATCACTATGTAACACTTGCGCTTCTATTGGCTAGCGCTTCAATACATTGTACATGATAGGCCAACGAACGGGACCAATCACTACAGAGCCAGCCAGCTAACCAATCAGAGCAGACTGGGCTCTGGTTTCAGACAGAGGGTGAAAAGAGGTGCTACAGCACAGGCAGTATGAGAAAAATAAATACTTTTTTGAACATTAAAGCATGGAGACATGTCACAGTAGAGGCACATAATACAAATATGAACCTGAACATGAGCATAAAATGTCCAAAATAAATAGCAAGGTAGATTACATCTGTAACAATAATGGGTTACTGTTGCAAGCCTGCTAACAAGAATACTTCAAGCTTCCATCATTTACGCCCTGTAGAGGCTTTCTTTTACAATTCCATGCGATGAATTTACTAGTAGCTACTTACTACCTTGAGCTAAATACTTGATGGTCTCTTGATATTTCTTAACTTTACATGTTGATAAGGAAGGTCGGAAAAATGCATTATGGGATTGTTAAGCAATAAAAGAAGCACCAGTTGTGTCTTCTGATCCGTCAAAAAAAGGATGCATATCAATCCTGCATTATAAAGGCTTTGAGATGAGACTTCTTGACCTGTTTAGCCATATTTGGTTTTAAAATATTGACTTTGAATTATGGGATACAAAAAAAGACTCCCGTCCGGACCCCACATGCAAAACCAGTAACCCATCCCGTTTTCATTGCAGTACGAACTAGGTACTATCATTTGTATCATTGAGTATTCTTTGTTAAAATGGGGATCGGCCTATCTGCCAAACAACATGGAATAATGTTGGTTCACTATTGCTTTAGATAAATCACTAGTAAATGTCATGTTATATTTATTTTACTGCTGCCTGGGCCTCCCCTCCCCCTCAGCTCCCTAGCAGTGGGTCAGCAGTAGCAACAGCAGAGCCGAGGGCAGGCGTCGTTATAACATGGCTGTGGTAATTAGAAAGACCACTCAACCATCGGTTAAGCTGAAGTAATGTGCTTCATCTGCTCTAAAAAGAACTCCGATTCACATTGGCTTCCCTGAGCCTCTTTCGAAAACACCAACGTTGTGAAGAAGTGAAGCTGGTAAATATAGTGGCTGTAGCAGAAGCTATGCACACTTAAGGGTGTTTTCAGGAGTTCATTAAGAAGCAGTTTATAGCCTTCTGGAAATGGTGAGTTTTTCAATGACCTACAATTTGTTGATGTAAGTTATGGTTATGGTACATAAAAGATCAAGTCAAGGGAATACATTTGCTCTTACAGTGTAACTAGTATGAATGTACAACAACTCGGTCTATAGATAGACTGTGTTGTGGTTGGCTTTATTGGGTTTTTCATTACAATGCTAGTATGTTACAGAGGAAACCTTTGTGAGGCAAACTGAAAGGCCTCTTTCATAAGACTTAATTGGGAAACATTTAGACCAAGTTAACTTCTCATACAAATTAATACAACCTGACCTTGTCGGTATCCTTTCCTGCCTGCAGCCAACATGACAACAAATATCAGAGTATGGAAGCTAAATTACTTAAACAACCGAGTGTAGTAAACCATAAAAAAATAGCTAATTTAGAAGGAAGGGGGATGAACAGGAAAAGTTATTTAAAAAGTTCACACGGTGAAAACTCTGATGTAATTTAAGCTAAAGGGCAAAGTGTCCCTTCTACAAAACAAGTTTTTCTCTTACCAAGAAGGGCATGGAACAGCTGGCTGCCCAGTATTGAGGAGACTTTGCCCACGCTGGTCTTCAAGGCCTGCTCCTCTGGGTTGGTCAGGTTGGCCTGGTAGTGTCTGAGCAGCCCCACTGCTCGCTGTGTGTCTGCCAAACAAAATAAATGCATTTCTTAAGACAACAGCTGAAAAGAGCCTATGCTGGCAGGCAGTCATTTGTGACAGGGTTGAAGGTGAATTTGGTTACATTAAATATGTATCGTATTGGTTTTTTAAAGCAATAGAATATGAAAAGCAACAGGATACCCCTTTAAATCTGTTAGGTCTGCAACTTGTGATTATTTTTTAGAATCACATACGATACAGAAATGTTTTATAATTGTTAAAAAAGGAAGAAAATGGTGAGAAAGAGAAGCCATTTCAGACATTCTTTAATATATGATCCTTATATTTACAAAAACATTTTAAGTGTAAGTAGGAAAATGGGCTGTAAAAAGTGATGTTGTGACATGATGAAGTAGCTATACACAGGAAGCAACAACTTAATGTTATACTCTCTCAGACAGATGGTTAACTCTAAATGTGAGATTGTCCTTTTTAGAAAATATATTATAATACTGTTTTATATTTGACTTGACTGCTGTTTGTTACATTCCCCTGCAGAGCACATTAAAAGGTATTTTTCTCTTGCAACACGACTGTACAGCTGGTTGTTGAACCCGGTGGTTGGTGAGGAACTCAGCTGAGATGATGCTCATGCACGGAGGTAAATCAACAACTTCACAGTTTCTGAACATCTGAGCGAAAAAACTGGCAGAACAGTACACTCCTGGCCGGAAGTTGCTCAATTCCCAGTTACAGTATTTCACTTTTATCATTCCCTAAGGAAAAGAACATTCCCGTTTCCTCTATGGACTATGACTGAGGTAAGTGGTACAATGAAAACCCGTACACAAACTTAAATAAACTCCTGAGCTGGCATTACACTAAAACTTAACCGAGACTTACTACAAAACGTAGACACGTGATGTAGATGTAACGTGATGTTAACGGTACTCACCATATTTATGCACCATGGTGTGGTCAACTCCCCAAAAAGTCATGTAAATGACAGTTTCAGGGTTTTTTTTAGGAAGAAAAATAATTACAGTATTAGTCCCGGATAATTATACAACCATAACGGTCGCCTCCTTCACAACAAGTGAGAGGTTGAGTTTAAAATCCAGCCTGGACACTCCCCGTCTGTCTGAAGTGTTTCTGCAGCAGAGGTCCACACCCACAGGCAGGGGTTGAAATGTGACAAGAGGAGACTGTTTACTTCATGTCAACTTTCCAAAGTTTTTGGGCAGAAAACGGTCCCAGTGCGTGACATGTTTCTCCTCCCCTCACACACATGCCTCGCCTTCATGGATCACGGCCCTGTGGTTTAGCTTCATATGGACAGTGTAGTATGAGTATTTAAACTAGCTGCATATAATTAGCTTTGATGGACTTCCCATTACATTATGGGTGATTAATTAGTTAATGAAACAGCATATCTTCGGGTTATATTTTTCTCTCTTCAGCCTAAAATCGCCTCTTCTCCATTACTCTTTTTTAAACGTAAGCATTGTGTGCCATCTAGCGGTGTGTGAAAGTGTTGCTACGAAATCACAGGTAAATGATAACTTACTTACTAATGACTAATCCTAAAAAAAAAAACTGGGATGTGTATTAAAAAAAAAACTTTGACTATTCTGAGATTTTCTGAAAAAAAGATATATACATTTTTCAGAAAAATAAATATTAAGAGATAATACAACAAATGATTTCTTTCAGGATTCTGACATTAAAGTCCGAACTCAAAATGTATCATTGCTTTTTTTAAATGTTTCTTATGTGGCCCTAATCCTCTTCCGTAAGAACTAGCTTACAGTTTAATGTGAACAAAGTTATATTCGCATACAAAGCAGAGGAAGCTGTGATAAGTCTGATTGGGATTCACGACTATAAGTTTAAAAAATGAAACAAAACCAACTCTGGGGGTGTGGAGTGATACATAAATGAGTTAAACAGACCTTTGTAGCCCGTTTCTCATCCCTGCTGGAGCTGTCAGTTTGATGATAGTTTAGCTGCTACCTAGTACCTACAGCTAGCTAGCATAACAGAACCGACTCTTAACGGTCGTCGGTCGAGTTGCATCATGGGTAACGTAGGCACCAAGTTTTGACATGTAAGAAAATGTGTGGAATCTATAAGATGATATCTATGATAATAGTCATCATTTCACTCCCTGAGGCAACAGAGAGTCTTTTTTTATATATGTTGACAATGTTTCAGATGGATCATGAAAAGCTGAGGTGTATAATGTTGCATTTTTGCTTTACTATTTATCATCTCAGTTTTAGAAAAATGTAAAGTAGAAATTACGCTATGTAAAAATACTTGCAGGTAAAAGCTGTGCTTACAATATGTACCCATTTAAAACTATCATGTATAAAATGAATAATATTCATTGTGCAAGCAAGGTGCAAGCAGTCTTACATTTTTATATAGTTTTGGAATGATTTAACTGACATCTTAACATGATGATACATTTAAGCAAATATAGATTGTAATACTTAGGGAAAAGTGCAGAAGATGTCACGCCCATCCTTTCATAAACAAAAACAACAAATTAAATTAGAGAAACTAAATTACTGAACTATTTCTGAAAGACACAAGCAGCCATATGTTTGTCATGATGCAACGCTTTTAATGTATACCATAACCTTACAGTAACAAAATAAAAATGTATTTGGTGTTTAAAAATAATATATTCATGTTGTTGAGGATTCAATTCTATTTAGATTTTTTTTGTGGTGCTTTTAGTTACACTGCATGAAATGGAAACAACATTTTAAAAAGCGATGTACAGTACATACAATTCATTCAGTTGTGACAACATGAAATACATTTTGTTAGAAAATGGAACAGCATCAACAGAGAAAAACGTCTTGACATAAAGTGCCAATAGGAAATCAAGTGCAGATCTTCAGTACAATTGCAATCATACAATCTGAAAGAAACGTTTTGAGGAGAACATTTTGAGTAGAACAGAAAAATCTTCAAAACCCAGTTGACCCGCTAGAGTTAGAAACTAAAAACTAAAACCGCCATCCAAATATCAGCATACAGTGCTGATATTTGGTCAACATCTTATAAACTCTGATTTTCTTTTCTTTTTAATGGCTTCAGAACTCTATGTAAAGTTGGTCACATTAACTTGCTTTCTTCCTGATATAGCACTAAACTATGCTGGTGGTGCAGGCCAGGATGTAGGTCAGTTTAGGGGCTGAATCTCCTGCTGGCGTCAGGGATCTACCTGGTGGGCAAGAAGGGCGACAGTTCTTTCTCGTTCCAGGCCAAAGTATTGGGACTTTGCTTCTCTGCTCCTGTGAGGGGTCACAAAAATACCGTTTTAAACACATCCATTTCAGTGAAGTAGCTGGCCCCATTTTCTAATATTTTAAGTACCACATTTATATTTGGTAATGATAATGTAATGTTACGTAGTTTCCATTATCCATTTTAATTTGTTGCAGTTCCTACAAAACTAAGTCCATCAATTTTTGTCAACGGATTTTTTATCCATCAACTCTGCAATTGTAAATGTTTGTAAATGATGCAATTAGGTAAAAAACAACCTGGCAATCCAAAATGTGTAATGATCGCCTAACAGATCTATTAAGCTTCAGTATATAATTGATATACATTTAATTGAGTCAATGTCACACCTTACAACCCTGTCCACTACCTTACTTAAAAAAATTATCTCAAAATAACAGTAAAGACTCACTTTTTTTATTGCCAGTAACATTTTTCTCATTGTAAAAATATTTCATAGCTTTTAATTTGTAATATTTTGTACCTCTTTTAAAACAAGTGTAATAGCAATATTGATTTATGGATAGCAATGGTATTTGGGGAAGGCCCACATTTTTCAATGTTAATACTCTCAACTACAGTGGTTCTAGTTACATATATGCAAACTAGAGCTGAAACAGTTAGTTGGTTAATAAGTTCGTCCATCACCAGATCTTTTAATTTTTTTTTATTTTACATAATAATGAAGTGAAAATATTTGAGTTTTAGACTACAACATTGAAGATGTTGCTCAGGGTTTTCTAAAAAGGTTGATAAACATTAATAAACTTAATTTTGAAAAAGATCTGGTGATTGATGAATAATGAAAACAATCATTGATTACAGCCCTAATGTTAATATTCTTTTTTAATCTAATCATACATTACCTTGTCTGTGACTGAAACAGTTTGTTTTCCTGGTAGAAACAGTGAGGTGGATAAGTCAATCTATTATAGACATTTTTCATACAGCAGACCCACATGTGTACAACAAACCTCTGTTCCACTTACCATTGCAAGATGTAGAGTCCAATCATTATAAAAATAGATACAATGTCCACTGTAATCCATATTATTTTGTACGTAAGAGGCGCCTGAAACACACAAACAAGCCCATAAGATCAAGGCCCATTACATGTTTTGGAAAACACTTGAATAAACTTGTTGGATCTAAAACAAAATAGTGAAATAAACCGAAAGGTAGGTAAGTGAATCATGTGCTACTGTACGTGTATTATTATGTATTAGGCCTACTCACCATGACCCAGTTTGGCTGCTCCATGTCTTTTAGGAGGTGGCAGGAGTTGGTGGTAACAGAGCTGGCCCCCGCACACCACAGCAGAGAGAACAGCCAACGCTCATTAACCACCCACAGGTTCACCGTAATGTTCTTGCCCCGAGTCTCCCTGTCAGATATAAACACAGCGTTTTAAATGTAGAACTTTGCTCCGATTACAGTGTAAGTAAATGAAAAGATAAATATATTGGAAGACAGGAAAAGCAGGACAGCATGTGTTTGCAGGTCTGTATATGTATGTGTGTCTCTGTAAAGTATAATTTATGGGTGCATGTATGTGCATGCAAATGAGGCTATTTATTACGCTCCTGTGGGCCTTGTCTTTACTTCCTTTTTGGTCAATGTATTCGCTGTCAAAATGTTCTTATAACATCATGTTTGCATTTCTATAAATACAAATATCAATAGCAAATAGAAATCAACATTACATCGTTTTTATTCTTGCATAAAAGGTGAGACAACTACAAAAAGTTCTGTACACTTAACATGGATTCGTTTTATGAAGAAGACATAAATGAAGCCTGTCACATTACGTTACATGTAAGTTATTTCAGCACTTGAAAGGCATTGCATTCCTTAGTAATCTTTTCAAGGATTGTTTTCTCATCTATAGAATTTGTTTTGTATCCTTTTCCCTGGAGGCCAATCCTGTGTCTTTTTATTGAGTGCCAGCACAGTGTCTCGGCCTGCTACACATACTTTTAATAACACACTACTGTGCAGTCCTGGCATTAGCACATAGACGATATGAGTGTATGTAGTTCCATATGTATTTCTTTACCTGATTTCATTTGGACTGAACTTGCTGTATTTCAAATTAAGGTGGTTCCCCTCTTCGTTAACCATCTCACTTTCGTTGTTATAGTACTGGATGAAGCCTGGAGCAGTCTTATTTACATATTCTCTTCCAACTTGAGGAAGCCAGAGGATCTATAAAAAGAAATACACAACAACTTAACAAAATATGCAATATCATTAAATATTTCAAATTCCATCAGATGCATCAGAATTAGACCTACCAGGCTTGGGTCAATGCCAGATCTCAAGATGGTGTCGACTGTGGCTACTGTGTCATTTTCCTGGTTTGGACTGGAAAGGTCAAATATCACTGAGATGTTGTGCTGCTTGGCGAGGTCGAGGAGCTGACGTAAGGAGGGTATGGTCTGATTCCTCGCCGTTTCCCTCTCCTCTTCTGACAGCTTGGACACTGACTCGAAAGGATCTGTCTGGAAAGTCAGAGCGCACTTCCTGTAACTGTTGCATGATACCACATCAACCTTTAAAAGTGAGTGTGAGGACAAGCATGTGTCAAAGCACGGCCAGCCCTTACCTTTATGAACCATTCGCCTGCATTCAGACTCTGCAGTTCCTCCCAGGTCAGGTCGGCGCTCTGGTTGAAGTCCTTGTTGGGGAACTTGTCTTTAACATTTGTTGTTCTCCGCAGGAACTCAGACTGATCATGGTCATGCATCAAGAATGGCATTCTATCTTTACTATTGTAGAAAAACAAATTAAAAAAGCATCTGTGAGGCCGAAACAATCCCAATTTTAAAGGTAAAGTAATTCATGACCCTCTTTGACCTCTGTGGGCAACTAAGACACTCTTGAAAGAACATTTCATTGAGCAACACAAAGCAACATAGATCTGTCATTTGAATTGATCAACAACCAGATAGAAGCTGATCAAATGATAAATGTCATGCTACTATAATATGTAATATTAGCATCTATTGCTATCTATTAACACCACAATCCCCAATTGGTTTATGGTCTATGGTTTTTAAGTCTCCATATTTGCATTTTGGCTATCTCAATAAGTACAATTATACACTGAACAAGACTTTTTCAGGCAACTGAAATGTTAGAATTACATTTTATGAAAGTTAACGAGGGACATCCAAACTGGACAACATAGCTATGATAAAATACTGTAAAGCCAGTATTTATTTCAGCAAAGAGAAGCCTGCTATACTTTTGTCTGATCATTGTTTTCAAAATAAATACAAATATTTTCAGTCGTATGTCAGCTTTATAATTGAAAATTGTATTTGTGCAGTGAAAGAAAAGGTAAACTAACAGTAGCGAACACTCAGTGGTGCTTTGGATCTGTAGAAATCACTGAAATTCATCGTACCTGAGCTGTATGTCTGTCTCGAAGGCTATGACGCCGCACGAGATGCTCTCGTTGAACGACATGATGGTGTTCTCCGGGGCCATCTGAACACAGGGAGGACAGATGGGTGAGAGACATTCATGGGCTTAAGCTAAAAAATACCCTAAAGCTAACCTCACTTTCACAGTATTAAATTCAGCTTATTGACAGTGACACAAGAGCACAAAAACTAACAGGGACAGAATTGCACAGCATATGGGGCTCTCACATGATTGGACATGTACTCACAGCTGAGCCAATCATATCATTTTTTTGTAAGTCACAACATATCAGTTCTCACACTAGAACTCCCAATTGCCACAGGACAGAAGAAAATCTATATATCTTCCGTCACAAACTGAAATCCTAACTGTTTTGCTTGTACCTTTGTTACATTTAACAAACACACACAAAAAAATGTCAGTAAAATAATTTAGCCCATTTGAAACTAATGCACTACCACTTCAATGGATTGGCTTTTTCGTAGGGAATGTGTGTGCATTTTTCTTGTTGTATCTTTATGGTTTATTGCACTTTTTGTAAGTCGCTTTGAATAAAAGCGTCAGCTAAATGACATATATTTGTGGGGGAAACTTCTGTAGCAATTGGAGACAGGATTCAGAGAGACACGAGGAGAGCTGGAGCTTTGATGTCAAACACTGAGGGTTTATTTGGAGCTTCGGCCGGAGCATTCACAAGACATGTCACGGGCCACGAGTTGACCACACGGTAGAGATGCCACAATCAATTCTGAAGAACCCTCCTGTAGCTCCAGGTTTTAACTAGTTCAGAGTGTAATAATCAACATTCTTCAATAGATAGACTAAACAGCTGAGGACACTGAATCACATTTGTTGTTGCGTATGGCTCGAGGTCATCTACACCCCGAGAAGGATGTGTTCCAGGTGTCCCACAACAATAACTATCTCTGACCGAGAGTTGCCCGGTCATAAACTGGTAACATCAACAATATGCTAGGGCAGCCCCTCCTTAAGGGAGATAGCATGCTGCCCAAGGCTGGGCATCTGCGTCAGAGGGCGAGGGAGGACACGCAGGGCAAATTATTCCCTGACAATATTGTAATGTAAACTCAATATAATATATAGTTATAGTTGGAGAATAAATGACAAATTGATGTTCTATGGGTGTTATGTAGCAGATATGTTTTGGCTTGGAGCCTTGACTTCCTATCTTATCTCTCTAAGCAAGAAAGTGAGAAGCGTATTTCTCTGAATGTCAAATTATTCCTTTAAATTATCACTAAACTGCTCTCCTCTGACTACACACACAATATTTATAACTGGGATGGCAGCTCGTTCCAACAAGATTATTGTTGCTAAACTGCCTGATCCGTCCACATTTATTGTAAGAGAGCAATTTCAAAGGCTCAAGATATTTTGACAGTCCTCCATATCCTCTTCAGGGATTTAGAAGATCAAAGGTCAGATAAAACGGTTGTTTTTTCCCTCGTCCACCAAACGGGTAAATACTCATGAGGATTTAGCTGATGAATAGTTTCCAAAATAACTGTTGATGGATGATTCTATAGGTTACTTGAAGTATTCATGTTTTATGTATTTATCGAGTTTGATGTACCTTTGTCTGTGTGTGTTATTTGTTTTACCTGGCTGCGAGACACATTTCCCCTGAAGGACAATACATTTAGAGTTGAAAAACAAGTTGAAAAGAATTGCACACAATGTGATCATGTGTACGTTTTGGGTGTTGTCAAGTAAAACAGGATGCTCACCATCGGTGCTCCGCGGTGACCAATCAGCTTTGGTTTTTCAGGTAATTCAGCCTGCTTTATCAGACAAGGAGACTGGATGATCAGGGGACACAGGAAGATGGCTGCTGACAGCACCACAAATACTGCTCCAATCAGGAACTTGGACCCTGGTGAGAACAAAAGTAAAACAATAAGGCTTTCATTTTGAGTTGTTTACACACCAAGACAGAGAACTGGTACAAAATCCCTTTGAAAGTGTGAGTAAATAACAAGCAATGTTTGTTCTGTGGGAGTGTAATGAATATCGTGCTGTTCCAGTCCGTGTTTCCTATTGTTCCTTGCATGTATTGACCTTTATATATACAGTCTATGGTATTGACACATGAATGTTTCTGTACATATTTTACAAAAACACCCTAAGAAGAGAAATTAGTAGTGACAGCTTTGTTGAAATACACATCTGTGTTTCCCTCGCTGAGTTTCATGAAAATTAATGGGTAAGATTTGGGGACACAACTCCATAATTAAGGGTGTTGCCAGTTGTGATACAGATATGTATATATGTGTCCTCTGTCCTTTATATAATACATTTTGATTCACTCTTTCTATCAACCTATAATGTATCTCAAAATTGGCTCTTTCAAAATATGTGTGTTTGGCCATTTTTGTGTTGATGAAGGAACACTTTGTCTTGATTCTTGTTATTTTATGTAACGTCTGAGACATACAGTTTTCTTTGGCTGCATGAATGCCCTTGAAGACGAACGAGGACAGCAGCGTCAGCGCCCCAACAGCACCAAACTGCAAGAAAGGAGCTGTGGCCTGCAGAGAGGCCGACGTGCACATCAAAAACTTGCTGTACAATGACAACTAAGTTAAAAACAACAACAGACATTTACACTTTGACATTATATTATTCCCTTACACACTTTCTGTACCTGAAGTGAAAGAGGAACAGTTGGCCATTCTTCTGACCACTTCCAAGAAATTCCTGTCAATCCCAACGCCATGAAAATCACACCAAGAAATAACAATATCTGAGAATAGAAAAAAATAAAAAGCATAATAAACAATCTCACCAACCAAAGCATTGTTTAAAAGAAATGGAGATGTACATGTTGTTGATACCTTGTGCAGCCAGTGTAAGTTGAGTGGTTCTCTTAAGGCAACTTGGAAGAATGCAAATAGCTGGAATGAAATATATTAGATTGTAAAATTGTTTATGAAAACAGTTTATGGTACCTTTCCTCTCTAATCATCAGTAGACACTCTACAAAGCTTTTTACTCAACCCACCAAATCCCTTTTGCATGCTTTTATTACATCTGATACAAGGCAATAGCTATTTAATGTTTCCTATTTAGCTTTTATAATCATACCATCTCATGCCAGTATTTACCAGCACTCTGTATTATTCTGCAACCACTGCATCACAGTACCACAGTATTTCAACATCACAGCTTTATTCTATATTCTCACCAGCAGCAGAACGCAGTAGCTGGTCATCACTGCGGAAATGATGATGAGCACCATGAACCAGTTCACCCATAGTTTCAGATTTTGGAAGCCCTGCCTGAGAACAAAAGAGGGCAGCGCAGGGTTAGCAGGATAAAGGTCACCGATAAAGAAAAGAAAAGAAAAGAGAGGACTCTGGGCTTTTGAGCTAGATTCCATGTGGGCTATTTGTTTGTTTGTTGGTGATCACTCACCAGTTCACATCTTCTCGGTCATTATAAGTAACCAGACAGATGTACATCCAGCACAGGCAGAGCAGGGACACCAGAGCCACATATGATAGCCAACAGCATGCATGCTAACATGAAAAGAACAGGTGAAATATTATTCATTTTCACACTTCTAAGCTATTTGGTCGTTAATATAATAACATCTTTTGTATGCTGTTTGTGATCAGAATAATGTATGAGGGAATTTGATCTGAGAAGACAATGGAACAATTCCAACATTTTTTAATGATTGCTCTCTCGCCCTTCAATCTCGTGACAACTTCACACAAACAGGTCCTTTATGCTCCTTCACCATCAACAACACACCTCTACCCTCTCATTCTCGTAAATTAAAGTCCCCAACATCCTCCTCCCACTTTTAATCCTGTTCCAGATTTAAAAAAATAAAAAACCTGTTTGGGCCTGCAAGTTTTCTTCTTTTTGTTGCCACATATGTTTCCTTGCCCTCATGACATCCCTGTCTCCTAGGCTGCACCAAGTTCCTTCTATCTCAAGTCTCCGCTGGTTGACTGTCAGCTATTTGTTTCAGATTTTATCTTATCCTTTCATTACATTTGGTTTGTTCATGTAGTTTGTATGCTTGTATGAAATCATTTTCTATCATAAAGTGTCTTGGAGAATTTAGAGAGGTGCTTTACAAATAAAAAACATTATTATTACTATTATTATTATTTTACAAAGTCCATCTTTTGTAAGCTTTCTGTAAACAAGGGTATCAAAACGTTGGCAATATTTCTGAATTCAGTCTGGTGGAATGTTAATCCCTGATTACAGGGATTTGTTTGGAGTTACGCCCAATGAAGGAACAAAAAAACCTGAAGAAGGAAAAAGGTAAAGTGATTTTGGTCAATTATTTTATAACCATCACATACATACAGTATAAGGCAGTGGCAAAGGAATGATGAACATCTATGATTCAAACTTCCATATGGTCATTTAATAACTTAAATATAAACATAAATATGGCTGGAAATACTCACTTTTTTGAGCTTACTTTTCCAGTGGCAGCTATATACGACCCTGCAGCACACTTTGCTACAGCTTTCGTTTTGAGGCATCACGTCTCCTCCTCATTCACAGTGTAGGAGGTACAGATCCTGTTCACTCTGGACACCTGATTCATGCAGCCTGAAGAAGGATGGAGGAGCCCAGATAGCGCTTTCTGTGGATACCGAGAAGAGGCCCGAACTCATTCACTTCTCCGAACCTATGAAGTGTAAAGGAGGGAGAAAAAGACGACTGTGACAGAAAGCAAATGAGGGGAGGGGGTATTAAGGCGATCCCTGCTCAATAACCCTCACAATAGAACCAGTGTGCAAAATGGGGTATCACCACTGGCAGCACTTACAATAGCCAACACCATGGGGTATTGAGTAGTGCAAAGACTGGCCAGTGAGTGAAGTCACACTATTGGAGGCTTTGCAGCACAAACAGCCACAGTGACAGGCACATCCATGCACACAGAGAGAGGGCGGAGGAAACAAACAGTGCTAGTAAAGAACAAACTGGTTTTTAACGGACAAAGTGAAGAGAAACCTATTTGGAACTGGATAATGATTTTAGAAGGAGTAGATTTGGATGATGCCATGCTAAGATACAATAGCCAAGATACCTCAACTTGTTGGGGCAGATCATTTCACAGTTGTGCCAGGTTTCGTTCCCCCCTTTAGGCCCGACGTGGGTGATTATACATGTTATTTGTCACAATAATACAGGCATATTGAGCAATAAAGGTTTCTGTTGTGAAGAGGTTTCACACGACTAACTGTTTCTTGTTGGACTTGATTTTGGCGGTGGGTTTTTCCCACAGTCAAAGCCTTCAGGGTATTGAGCAAGTGAAAGCTAGGGCATATATAGAAAAAGCAGGTAAACGAGGTCTGTCTATTGAGGAATGAGCTTCTGCTAAATAATTAGGAGATTCAAACCTAATTTGTGCATGTTTGGACAGATCCACAGGTGTAAATGCTGCTGGCATGAAACATAAAACACCTTTTCTAAAGCAGACTTCATTTACAGTACAAGGAAGTTATTAAACCTGAGCTCAATGTTGAGTAAAACTATAGTATGTGAGATCAAGCCCACTGTGACAAAAGAAACTGAAATACAAATGTCTCACTTACAATCAAAGCACCATGAAATTCTTCTTTACAGTTGAGTTCCTTACAACATGTTTTCATGACCCTGCCAAAGACACTAGCTGGAAGCCATCCCTGTTTAATATTTCAATATATTAATTCTCACTCTTATTAACCAACTCATACATAAGCACACTTAATACATGCTTCAAATGATGAGTCTATATCTTAATACAATAGATACGTCTACATAAACAGCACATTGTGGTACCTGCATTGTGAAGCAGATTAAACGATAACAAGGAGACACACCTTCTTAATCTACTCTGCCACTTTAATCTGGTTGGCAATGTTAACTGTAATTAGTCACAAAACTCTAGGGTGTTAATCAAAGCAATGAAGAATGATGAGAGATTACATGTCCAAACAGATTTGTTATAATACAAAGTACAAGATAAAACCCATCAATAGTCACTGTCACTCTTCCCTATGCGTACCATCATGCACTTCAGCTGAACTTCCTCTTGAAACAAGTCCTGTTTCTCTTTTGAAGCCAGGAAAAGGCTAGTCACTGTGACCTTTTTACCTGTGCTAGACTATGGTGATTTGATCTACATGAATGCACCTGCCCATTGCCTGGAAAGGTTAGATGCCGCCTATCACAGTGCTCTGAGATTTGTTACTAACTGTAAAGCACTTACTCATCACTGTACCCTGTATGCCAAGGCAGGTCTGCCTTCACTTACTGTTCGGAGGCTCAGTCATTGGTACATATTCATATATAAAGCCATGCTGGGTAAACTACCGACTTATATATGCTCTTTGATCTCACAGAGAGTGGCAAGTAGCTATTGCCTGAGATCCCAGGATGTGTTCTTATTACATGTGCCAAGTGCTAGGACTGTTTTAGGTACTAAAGCTTTTATGTGCGCTGCTCCTCTAGCTTGGAACACTATGCAAAAAACATTGAAACTGAGCATTTTGATTCCCTTGCATCATTTTAAAGCACGGCTGGATGAAATGTTATTGGATACCTGTCACTGTGAATAGGTTGCTAATTTATACCCCTGTAATTATGTTGTATGATGTCCTTTTTGTTTTCTGTTGTTTTTATGTGTAACCAATGTACCGCAGGTCTCCCTTGAAAAAGAGATCGTTGATTTCAATGGGATTTTTTAACCTGGTTAAATAAAGGCTACAATACCTGTCTTTTAATTGTATTCAGTGTTGTAAAAATGTACAATGTAATGTAATGGGTTTTTTTCAACTGACTTGGAGTTTATCATTTGATATAGTCCTGTTTACCCCATTATTTCCCTGTAAGCTTCTAACAGGTACAAATGTGCAGCAGTTGGGTATTCAGGCTGCCTTTTGATTTGTTTTCCTATATTTATTGCTTTTTTCTTTGCATTTAGTTTGCTGTGTTTATGATGTTTAGCAAAGAGTGAATGGTGTCAATACCAAGTTGTGATCTTGAGCAATTAAATAAAAAATGGCTAAAATGTTTACAATAAAAAAAAGCATGCCATACTGTATTATTAATATATGTAAATGAGGATGTAAAATGATTCAAAACTTCATAGTGGTTTACATGTGACAAGACAGATACCCTCAGCTTTAAGCCAAAATGTCCTTGCAGAAATTGCGATGATGTACCTTTCTACTTTAATCTTTTTAATCCTTTGCATCAAGGGCACAAAATCCCAAAGAATGAAAAGAATTCAGGAATTCAATCATACCGGTGTTATTAAAGCATCTGCAGAATCCACCAAATCAAAAGAGACTCACCATAAATTGCACTGCTTTGTTAAATTCCTTCGTACTCACTCTCTCCGTGGGAAAAGCACTCTGACTGCTTCCACTCTACTTCTCCTGCATCCTTTCCACTTTGTGAGTCGCAGAGTGAATGTGAATGGTACCACATGAATGGGTGTGAGGACAAAGGGGTGTAGCCTTAACGGAGAGGGAGGATCCAAACAGTTCCACTAGGTATAGGCTTTAATGTAAACTCACTAAACCTGTATCTCTCTACACTCTCTGAGAATACTTCTGCTCCACAGGATCCTCATTAACGATTAAAGCCCTTAAAAATGACTGAAATGTATTTTACGACACCAAATATTGCTTTTGTCCAATTAGCCTTGTGTTGAAAAGACCCACATGATATATTCTAATTTGTTAATGTCATTCTTATGTTTCTCTAAATATTCCGAGGGATATGATTTAAATGTTGTTTAATTATTAACATTTTTCTGTCTTTCTTTCCTTATGTATCCCAACGGCTTTTTTACTCCAATAGTCAGACTTTAAAACCTTACTCAATAATCACAGTGAACTTTCGAATCAAATAAAACAAGATAAATACATATTGTACTTCAAAATGTTTTAAAACAAAGACCCGCTAAATGTCTTAGGCACACTCAAACCCCTGCATGCCTTTGATGCAAGCTCTGCTGGCACTGGCACGTGAGTTTAGAGTTTAAATAAATTGTTGATTAACTTCCTTTCATCTAATCTCATCTCTCTTTTTTAAATTTCCTTCACAAACTAGAGTCAACATAGAAAAGTAACTAAGTAAACTATACTAAGTATTCCTAGATGTAAGAAGGCATGCTATGCTGCAGTCCTAGTATTTTCATAAATGTGTACCTTGCAAATCTACTTCATAAATTCTGCTGCATAAAGCTCCATCACCAACATCCTGAGAACATACATGTGTCAACCAATCAGTCTTCACTTTGAAATGAAGTAGATGCAACAGCGATGTAATTAAAGAATATTACATGTATGCAGGCATATTAGGCTATTATGTGATCATGCCAAATCACACTCAACTTAGAACCTGAGCTGTATTCTGTTGTCAGCTGATGATGAAAAATTGTGTAAATGAGAGATTGCATCAAATAATAATCTAAGATACGCGTCAGATATTAAAATTGTGTGATTATATGAGGAAAGCTGCATGAAATGTATCTGAAGAAGTTGAATGTTCAATGGTTGCTGTGAGACAAAAAACATTTTTGGCAATTTTTCCCTGTCTTTGTGACGATCAAAATAAACAGTTTGAAGTACTCAAACTTTCTAAACAAGATTCAATTTGACTTGAACTAATGTGGTGCTCTAACATGTTTCACTTCATGCTCATAAATATTTTTGCTGACGACCTTGCAGACAAATCCTTAAATGAAGGAGTCACATATATGTACTATAAAATAACTATTCATGTGTACACTGCACTGTCATTTTTATTATTGTACTTTATACCTGTATTATTTTACATTAGCTTGTTTTATTTATATTTTTTGTCTTCTCTTTTTAAAAATTATTTTTGAATGTCATTTTATGATGTAATTCCGCTACACTATATCATTATGCTTCTTCCTTTTTGTAAAGAACTTTGAATTGCCTTAAATTGAAAGGTGCTATATAAATAAACTTGCCTGTCCTTGCCTGGCCATCATATCAAATCCAAGTGAAATGTGTAATTTGTGTTAGGACACTAAAGAAATGAAATACTCACTGTCCTGCGTTAAAATATATTGCAATTCATTTACAGTAGCCTGGGAATTGGCAAGGTGAGAAGAGAATGGAAAATGTTAAATCAATGATAAAAAAAAAGATTTTGTGGTAACAAAACATGCATTCAGTTTTCTTCATCACAATAATAGCAAAATGTTTTTATCTAACACAGTGGTAGAAATTAACTCCAAACACTTACTTCACATTCATGTTATGAATCAACATCAGTAATCATGATCTATTATTATAAGTTCAAATGAGATTTATTGCCATTATTACCCAGAAGTATACATTCATTAACATTTTTCAATTTACCAGATGTAAAATGTAATTGATATACAAATTAATGCACAATATACACAAAATAAAATATGCATAATTGTATATTCTCAAACTGTCGTGACCCCTCCACACCAGCAGGTGGCGCTGTACCACAGAATACCAGTAATTGTTTAATGCAACAAAAAAAAGGCTTGTTGCTGTTGCTAGCTGGTTGCTAGCCTTCAGTCTAGCAGGTAAGATACTTTGTCATTTTTTGACTGTCATTCTGCCTTTTTGTTATACACTATATTACTAGTTATAGTTCAAATGATAACAACAGTGAATGTTATTGATGACGCGTTCAACAGAGCAGAGTAGGCTCGTTTCAAAGTTAGCTTGTAAGCTAACTGTAGCTATCTCGTTTGTAAATTGCAGTGTAAAATGATTTTCTGTCAGCTAAAGCACCCTTTACATAATGTCATTGCTATCTACCGATAAGTACAGCAGAACTTAAATACATTTCAGCATGTGTATAATTTCAGCATAATTTCGGTGGTTTGAAACTGCTTTTTCAGTAGAGCTTCGTAACTAGCTGGGTGCGTTTTGGTCTCAGCTGTAGTTAACATATTCACATAATGTTAAAGTAATACAGAACATTTCACACAAGCTTAACGACACTGCGGTCCACTTAGTACAACAGACGTGTCCATAGCAAATATGTTGATGTCATAGAAAAAACCCTACATTACATTTGTTTAACCAAATACTGTTGATAGTGCATATTTGGTCAAACTATGACCGTGGGAAACAAATCTAACCGCAACTTATAGGAAAATATCTATTCAAAGCTTGTAAACTAAACCAACTTTTTAGTTTTTCACATGCGTGTGAACTGTTTTAAGAATATAACTTCTGAATTGACAAATGTGTTGTAGCAAATAAGAACATCTATAATATAGACTCAAGAAGTTCACTAAATCTTAAGGAACTTTTCTTCATAACAATGTTTTTTGTTCTGTATTTAGGTGCTTTTATAAACAATGGATCAGAAAATTCCTTATGATGACTACCAGCTCCCAGTGGTATTCCTGCCTTCTTATGAAAACCCACCAGCATGGATACCCCCACAGGAGGTAAGACACAAATCAGTAGAACCTCACTTTCTGCTTTAATCCAACTATTTACTATTATTTACTATCAGGGAAACATGAACTCTAGGGCCTTTTTTTCTAAAGCTTTGAACTGTATATTTTAGTATTTGTCAAAGTCCCCACTTAATTTAAGTATTCCATGTGTTACAATCTGTAACCCACATGTGAAGAATCAGGCTCACATTGATGTAATACATACTATGCGATTGTTATCCATGCTTTTCTTTTTCTTTGTTTATTTTCAGCGGATTCAACACCCCGACTACAACAATGAGCTCACCCAGTTCCTGCCTCGTACTGTCGTATTAAAGAAACCTCCCGGAGCACAGCTGGGCTTCAACATCCGAGGGGGCAAGGCCTCACAGCTTGGCATCTTCATTTCCAAGGTGTGTGTGATATGGATTTGATTGGCAATATTACTTGTTGTTCCGCGGTCTAATTGTATCCACATTGTGAGTTCTGATGTCTGTGTTTTTATTGGCAGGTGGTCCCAGACTCAGATGCCCACAGAGCAGGACTGCAAGAGGGAGACCAGGTTCTGTCTGTGAATGAGGTGGATTTCCAAGACATAGAGCACTCAAGAGTAAGTCAGAGCTCTATTTTCATGCTGAGATCCAAACACATTTTAATCAATGTGTTATTTGTGTTACCATTACACCATATCTGATACTCCCTTACTGGAGTGTAAGCCTGTTCGAAGACCTTTTGTGCCAGTTAAATATTTTATATTCCCATTAAAACATGTAACTATTTATAATAATAAAATGCCTCAATAGATTGGGCCCATGTTGCATTGTAGTCATCATGTTTCCCCAGCTGTTTTCTTTCTAGGAAAAAGCCCTTTTAGTATATTGCATCAAGTTAATTTCTGTTTCCTCTTCAGGCTGTAGAGATTCTGAAGACTGCGCGAGAGATACTGATGAGGGTTCGCTTCTTTCCTTACAGTAAGTCTTACTCTACTAAATCATATCAAAGGCATGACGCGTTCTCCATACTCAAGATTTGACATATGTCATACCTTTTCCTTTTTAAGTCAGTAGTTAGTTGCTTAGTTAGTAATCATATCTCTTGAATTTATTGTTTTTTGTTTTGGGGCGAATGTAAACAAATTTTCCAATGAGATATTGGCACATAGGTTAAAGATATTTTGTTGGCCAGAGTTCTTCTATTCAAGATACAGTGTTGAAAAGGGGAGGCAGAGAGAATGAAATTGAAAGTTTGTTGTCTGAAGTTAACATTGAGAAAAGTAAAGCTGAAGTTGATTACTTTTGGGCAGATTCCAATCCATTTTAAATGCATAACTTTTATTGATGATTTGCTTTTATTAGACCCATAGTGTGCTCAAGTGAAGTATGCAGTTTGTTATAGGCCTTAAGAAAAAGTTAGAATTGCTTTCATAGACTACGTAGCTCTAGGACTAAACCTCAAGAATTTGAAACTTGTTGGCACGATAAGTACCTCCTTCATACTTTAGCTGTGATATCTAACTGGCGGATCTCGCTGGATATATTCACAAACAAAAAAAACTGGTTTTGAAATAACTGGATTATATTATACTAGAAGGAAATGATATAATGGCATCCCTTTAAGTGTTGTAACATTGTTCTCTGTGTGTTCTCCTATTACTAGACTACCAAAGGCAGAAGGAGAGGACTGTACATTAGGTGGCAGTAAAGAGAGAGAGTTGTACAGTTGCATCACCACCCTCCTCCCACAGACTCTGGCCGTCTCACCGTCAAGATGTATGACTAACTCCCTCACTCACAGTCCTCACTGTAAGGACAGCATCTACTCTGTTTCCTCCCTCACCTCCATATCTGCTGCCTCATCTACTGTGATCCAGGATGATTACCATTCCATCAGGATATGTTCACAGGAAGTGAAGCAAGTTTTAGTTCAACCGACATTTCACATAATAAATTATGTATAATATTTTCCGGTCAAGCATACCATTTATAGACCATGCATAGTTTGATTATCTTTCTCCTCCATCCATATAATCAGGTGTTTTTTACTGTAGCTTTTTACATACCTCTTGATCAAGTACAGAGTAGCGTTGCATTGGTCACGCTTGTTTAAGGTAGAAATGCATATACACTCAGTTGCTTTATCATGTACAGATAGCTAAAACTAATGCAGTCCTATACATAAAGTTGCTGATAAGTGTCTTCATGAAAGGTGTTTTAGTTTAAGCCATTTTGTAAGAATCACTCACAAACTAGCTTTGTGGAGCTTTCAAAATAATGTCATGCTCAGTCAGCATCATGTTTCTCACTGGAAAACTGAGTGTAGATCTAGAAAATTACATAACTTGGATTTTAGTATGCACTGACACATACTGTATGGTAGCCTACAAAGACAGCAGGGCCTTACGTGTTGTAAGAGCAAATGATAGTGCAAGACTTCTGGTAAATATCACTGATCTGAATATCACTGTGAATATCCTGTTAATCCAGTTTTTTTATATTTAACAAAGTTGAGTAATGAAATATTAAGATGTGTGTATATATATATATTTCTGTGACTTCTATTGGGGACCCAACTTTACTTGCTCTCTTTTTTCACATTTCATGCATTATGGGTATTTCATAACCTGCTTTGGGCTAAACAATATTGCAATTATGTAATTTATGAACTGTAAACTAGTGTATAAGGTGCGGAACTGTATAATGATACATCATAACAACAGACAGAAGACTGTCAGGTACTTTTATCATTTTGTACTATGATTTTGTAGATGTGCTTATCAGTAAAATCAGCAGATATAAGATAAGGGTGTAAATGAAATCTCCAGACATTTCTAGAAAGCAGTTGAATACCTCTGGATGTTTCTCCTGCATACTTGTAAACATTTAGTACATTAGTTTGTATGCTATACCTGCCTGTTGCATCTCAACTCTTTGTACGCTAATACTTTTCACTATAGGATTAACCTTTGGTTTTCCATCTGATGATCTTGGTTTCCAGCACTACTTTGACATGGTAAATGTAATAAAACGTTTTGAACCCTTGTAACCTTGTGTTTCTACTTGGAGAGCCTGAACCAGCTAGAAAAGGACCGGTTTGTTCTGGTTCAAGCAGCTAAACGTGTTCTACTATGGAGGATGGTTTCTCTACTCAATTGTCATCTTTACGGGAATTCAGTGAATGGCAGTGATTATCATAGCACGGTAACCTTGTTAGGTTTATTTGATAAAATAGTCAAGTCCATGTAACACTACATCAAATATCCTCCGAAGAAAGAGCTAGCTCAGCTTGCAGGGCTTCATTCCAGCATGTTTACTCCATCACGATGACTTGAGTGCACAAAAAAACTTCAAAAATACATAAAAAAACAAAACATTTCCTTGTCCAGTCTTTCAGTTTAAGTCAACTGACAACATGCAAACTTGGTATGTACATTTTACATCAACCGAAACAGATTGCCAATGCATACTTGGGTCTGTTTAACATAAAGAATTACATTGCATAAACCTTTGATGGTAAAAGAGAAATACAACGAACCTTCAAACAGTCTTCTTATTACATATGAATGATATAAACACAGCGTCACTAATCATGTCTAAATAAAATGAGCTAATGGTTATTAAATACAATTTTCACATTTAATAAGTGTCTTTTCTTTTGCATTTGGCTAGATAACATTGTGTTTCTGAAAAACAGATAACAGGTTGACGCCCAGAGCTGTGCAACCCTGAACCCTTCACCTTCAAAGGTTTTATGCTGAGCTCATCATACTGTGATCTGCAACCAGCCTCAATGTGAATAAACTAAATAAAAGTGACCATCAGGCTCCTAATTTTGATCTGATATACAATAAAGAAAAATAATGATTTCACTTCACTCTATTTTCACCACTTACAGTAACTCATCTTATTTCCGTTCACAGTCACTTGTAAAGGCAAAGTGGAGAACCACACTTCATATCTTTTTTTAAATAGCTTTAAAAAACAGCTGACAGAGAACCTATTGTAAATGTAGTGCTGTAACTTTGATACATTTAAAACCCTGACACCGCAAATCCTTTACAATGTAAAAAATATAGTTCTTAAAACAATAGTTTGCTTAAAACACTGGCATGATGTTTAGCTTGGATCAACATAGAACGAGATGAATGGCAATTTCACTTCTGCCTGGTAAGAAATCTGTAAACACTTTATGCTCATCCCAAAAGGCACGTGGCGTTTGGAAAACCATATCAATATTTGTGAGCCTAAGGGCGACTTCACAGAGAGTGGGAGGTCCCAAGTCTTATTAAAGTTGTCAGTATATACACAGTCCGTCCTCCGGTCTCACCCTCTTAGACCACCCTTCCTCACATCACTTAGATATGGTTTAACTGCTGTCTTCGCACTCCTGAGTGGAGATCTTTGAACTCTCGTCCACGTTTTCTAGCGAGTCTGCTCTCTGTATGGACAGCTCGCCCGGGTCCATCATGGGCAGGACGTTCTGCTCCGGGCACAACCAGGGCTTCTGGGCCGGAGAGTTCTGCCCTTTCCACTGTTGGTAGTTCTGTCCCGCCTCGTGTACACTCCTCATCACCTGCAAGGAGTTGGCAAAGAGAGAATACCATTGTCAGAGGGGTGAGGTCTGAATGAGGGTCATACCACACCTTCATTCTCAGTTATCAAAGCTGAAGATAAAGCCAGTCAGAAAACACTGAGTAACAGATTAGGTGGGAAGCAGCTACAGAAAATATTTACAGCTCTGACAATCTACATAAAAGTAAAATGCAACAACTGAATGCATAGTCGATAAATCATTACAATATTAAACAATGAGAAAACTGTTTGCAACAATACTCCAGTCTCTAAGATTTAGGCAAGTAAGCACTTTTCCTGACCCCACCAGCTACTTCCAAAAACCCTTTCGACCTGCTTGAATGCACTTTGTTAGAGGTGTTTCGTTCATTGCTATCCCTTATTGAATAACCAAAGCCTTTCAAAAATAGTATCATCTTTTAAATGACTAAACAGGTCCTTTTGGTATTTAACTCTTGTTTCTTCTCTTGATTTTACATTTTATTTTACACTCCTCTAAAGACATGGAAAGGCATCTATAATTAAGGACTACATTATTTTCATTCTAATTTGGAATGTTCACTACTTGGCCAAATGTATGCGTCATTGCCTATTAATAGTTTTGTCTTTATAAATCACTGTTACTCAGTAAAGAAGGTCAATGGCAGCTCCTAACACACACACGTTGATACACTTTGGTCTAAATAGTTTCAAATGGCGGAGGATACGAAACCTGGGGAACGAGTTCTGCAGAGAGAGAGAGCAACAGCTCGAGCTGAGATACTCCTTTGTCAGCAGCCTTACCAGAGCAGGCACTCAAAATGGGTTTCTATGGTTACCATTGTCCTTTAAGACAGATGAAACCCTCTTTCCATTATGCGTACACACACCTTTTTAAAAAATTGCCTTGTGGACACACGCCCATTTACTGATACACTTGTATTTATTGACCTTAGCACCTCCTCGGCTGCTGTTGACTAAAAGTAAACAAACAAAAAAAGTTGCTGACGTTGCATTACTTACCCTGGGAGCGAGTACTTTAGAAGCTTGGTTTCCAACCCACTTTGGAAGAGAACCTGGAGATAAGAGATCAACATTTAAATACAGCTCTAAAAATGTTTGGCAAGAATCCGCCATTTGCAAAAATAGTGTTGTTGGTGTCGGTCTTACCTTTGGGGTCAGCTTGTGAAAGGTATATGAAAGTGCAGCTGTTTGGTCCAATGGGCTTGATGAAATATCCTGTGAGGACGGAAATGGCCCTCACAAGATCACTGCGAGGAGGGTATTTCTGGAATTAAATGAAAACAGTTTGCAGAGAATTTAGAAAAACTACAACTATCCAGTTTTAACTACAAACTCCTCTTTCACGATGTTGGTAAAGTTATGCAATGTTGACATGTGACACTATCACCTCGGTTAGGTGTGTGTAGAAGAAGAAAATCAATGCACACAGAACACTATGTCAAAAGGCATGTTGGGAATGTGTGTAGTAGGTGGTATACCGGATGTTTGACTGAGAAGTTAACGATGATGTACTCTTCCTCCGTCACCTTCCAGGAACGCAGGCTCACCACATCTCTGTTCTTTATGGGCTTTGGACACAGCCCTGCAGAAAAATAGACATACAAATCTAGTCATTATGTCTCCCTTCATTAAACTACACAACAAGCCCTTGTTATGACAATAAATACACCGCTGGAACAAGAGGGTGCTCATTATGCATCCCAGAGGGCTTCAGAAGAAACATGTTAATAGAAATGGAAGTTAAAAGGAGATGGCGTAACAATGCACTTGGGTATTTAAATATGATCATATCTTGCTCATGGGAAAATAATGTTCACTATGGTGCATATTACATCTAGAGTGTGCTGCACTTTTATAAAACATAAATACAAATATGAATCAGTTCCGATTTTAAATCATGCCTTAATATAGCACATTTTTTACATATAAAAACAGTTTTACACAATTTTTTCAAAATAACAATCAAACTCTTATTATGCACTTTCCCTTTTCAGTGTGTGTGTAATTTCAATGAGCAACAGTTGAAACTGAGTCAGGCCTGAGCTGTGGACTAACAGGTTTGTGGTGCATCACGTTTTAAACAGAGACAAACACACGGACAGCGACGGTAAAAGACTGAACAGAAAGGAGTCCTCACATGAGTAATATCCCACATCGGCATTAGCAGAGAGCCGGGCAATGTCAAAAGTGTCCAACATGGCGGGGTCCCACTTCTTACGGTACTGGCTATCGTGAAGGACGTCGTACATTGTGGCAGCTGATACATCTTTCATTGTCATTTTACACTGAAACAGACATTACATTAAAGTGTTATACAAATAAACCGCTGTCAATTTAACACGTATACCAAAAGTGACTTCTAAAGTTGGTGGATATTGAACTTACCTTGATTTTGTGAACAGGATTCTTTTTTTGGGAAGTAGAAGTTTCGACCCACACTTGCATCCCCTCCTTATCGTACTTGTTGGCCCAATTGTCCGTAGACAAACACTGCTTTTTAAAGTCAGCAAACACCGCCTCATCAGGTAAAATAGACATCTTTGAGTATCTTTGTGATAAAACTTTTTCGCTTAAAAAAAAACACTTCCTTAGAATGAATGTGACACCTGCTCGGTCCAGTGTGTTGGACCCAGTCGACTCGTGAGGAGGTTTAAGTCTGCTGTGGCTGTTAGCCTCTGGCGACACGATTATTATATACGAGCTGATCGCTCTTCAAGTCGAGCAGGATTTTTCTGAGTTGAATTCCTGAGTCATACCTTCAACCACCTCCCGCTGACGTCACAGCACTTCCTGAGACAGGTGTGTTACGCAGGTAGCGTAAAGGAAAACAAAAGAAGTCCCGCTTTAACAGTTGGACTAATTCACTTGTATAATATTATAGAGCTAATGTAGGTCAAAGTTGATACCAACTAAAATATGAATATAAAAAGAGCAGTGTTGTGTTTTTATTGTCAGAAAGTGTGAAGACAGGCTATAGCAAGTGGGCTGAACACTGTGGGCTGCTCAGGGGAGTGGGTTGGTGAGAATTGCTCAGTGTTGATGAGTACCATCACGACTATAAATGTTAAACAATAAACGAACACCAACCAAAAACGTTCAAAAATGAATAAATGAATCAAGCTTGAACTTATCCTCGTGCCTACTTTTAGCTTTAATATATTTTCAATATTTAGTAATAATTTAAACTTTAAAAGTTAATTCAACAAACTAATTAATTCACAACATATATTAACAATGCATTTATGTATACTGTACTTGTACTTTTATATTCTTTGTCATATATTGTTCATTATCATATACATTTTTCTATATTATTATTTGCGCTGTTATATATTGTTGGTAATATAATGTTATTATTACACATTTCTTATCTAGATTCATTTCAGATTGTTTGTTATACATTGTAGAATAATGCACATATTTGTACATGCTTGTTCCTATAACTTATCTATTTATTGTATTATAACCTAAATCCCCCCTCACAGGGATCAAATAAGAATTTCTGATTCTGAAATCTTTCTTGGGTATTTCTAGATAAATGGCCGTTTTATTGAAACTACTATTTGCAATACATTCCAGCCTATATCATCCAATAATAATACAAAAACATGTTTGATGTATTTTTATTAAAGTGTAGATTTAGAAAATATTGTCGTTATGTTTGAACATTGGCAATAACATTTACGTAAAGTCAGATTATACCTTCAGTTTCTATTCACATTCCTCCAATAGCTTTTAAACGAAATATGTACATCTAGAACGTTCATACTTGGACACACCTTTGTTGTAACATTGCAAGCCTCTGATGTATTACCTAACAAGTAGTTTCAGTCACTTTGACGACATACACACACACCGATGTAACAGGTTTCTCACATTCAACTGAAGCGCTGAATATTATCGCTCATAGAAAGCATGTACAGAACAAGTGTGTTGGTTTATCCATAGCAGTTGAAAAAAGAGAATTATGAATGTGATTCATTAAAGAAAGAGATGACAGATGTTACATTTTGGTGAAATATCTTTATTTTATTCCATGTGATAGGCCTACACTTGTGTTTCATTAACTCTCCTTTTTATACATCAGATAGTAATAGTACATTATTCACACAAACGTTGCTAAACACGAGTAGACAGCATATTTCAAATGGACAGACACAATTCAGAATGGCACAAAGCTGAGTATTTAGTCAGTGACAAGTAATAGAAGAGCTGCTAATGTTAAAATGGTTGTTTGATTACATTTTTAAATCCATTTAAAACGTTGATATTTCAAAACAAGCTACAGCAAACGACCAGTGTCTTTGTTGTGCTATGGCTAGTTAGTTGGTTTGTGTTACACATATGTGCGTGTGTGTGTGTGTGTGTGTGTGTGTGTGTCTAGAGACAGTGCAGCCTTGACCTGTGACTGTAAACCAAGCTACTGACTACACACTGCAAAAAAGCGATTTATAGCAGTGTGACAAGAAAAAACGTTGCTGCACCCAAGTGTCGCCTCAAGGTGGAGTCCCGGCAGACACGCAAACAATAAATAAAATCTCAACATGCGTGTCAGCATCTGTACTTTTGGTCAAGCATACAATGTTATCTGTATGTCAAAGTAACAAAATAAATAAACACATAAAACCAAGAGTCCGCCACAGGCAATAGCATTACAGCAAAGGATACTGCGACTAATTTCTCTGCACTTTTTACAGCAAGGGTGTTAGTAAGCGTTGGCTGCATCTGAGGACAAACTTTTATCTACCAGCTCTATAAAACAACTAATGAAGCCATGAACCAGTCAGCAGGCTTCTTATGTATTTTACAATATTGTGGCTTGATTCAGTGCACAACATTGGTGAACAAACAAGCAAGGCATCTGTGTTCTTATCCATATAAATCCTGCATGGTGAGCATGCTGCATGTTCTTGCAATAGTGTAATCAACACAACACAAATTATCGATGAGATGGTGGGAACGTCCTAGCGCCCAAAGTGACAACTTTTTATCGGAGTGGATAAACTAAACACTGACTTTTTTTTATTTCCTACTTTAGGGGTATCTAATAACATAAACTCCTCCTTAGATATGTTAATATGTGCACAGCTAATTCAACAACATTGGAAAAAGAGTTGCTATAGTTTTAATGCAGACATAGCTTCAGGTTAATAGCCATTTTAGTAAACTCGGGGAGGTTTCCCTTTGATAATATACTACCTCATTGTTTGGTCACACACCCCTTTTGCACTGTTTTAGATCAGGTCTCAAATGATGTGAATTTGATCTCCTAACACACTGTTGAATTTGGCAGTTCAGGCCTACAGATGTGTTCGGTATTATTATACCTAATACATGATCCATTAACCCTCCTCAATGAAAAGGGTCCATATGAGCCAAATGTAGTAACATGGCAGTTAGCAATGATGTTAATTTACTGGTAAGATCCTGTCTCTACTTCCTCAAAATAAGACAAAGTCAAGAAATAATCAGTTATCTGAGACAGAACAGAAGAGTACAAACTCTCCATTTAAAATAAAAAAAAGTAAAATACAATGGGCTGAGAACTCAACCTTGCAAAGCCATTTTAAATAATCCCAAGCAGTTTAACTTTACAACAATGACAAGAGTAACAGCACTAAGATTCCCAACTGTGCAATAACTCATGTTAGCAGTTAGCTATGTCAGTCTGCAATGCTATATAATGCCATGCAACTGGATGAGAATTTTAACATATCGTTTAACTTATTCCTTAATGTTATATTTGAAACCATTTTTCCCCACCACATAATCTGTTTGAATACAGTAATGCACATCCACACTGTTACTCTGAAAAGTCACTGAGTTGAAAAGGGGAAAAAAGACAGGTCTTCCATCCCAATGGCAGTGTGCCAAGGGTGGAGAGCGTGGCCACTGAGAGACAAGCTGTTGGTGGGGAGGAGATAGGCTGGGGGGGGTGAGGTGTACTAGCATGAGCAGCTGCTCTCGGTGACAGTCATCTCTGGCTGTTTCTCCAGTTTGATGTCGATCACTGAGAGGAATTGGTTAAGTAACATCGTCATGAATTTGCACATTTTATTTCAGTGCGCTATCTGGCTGCTATTGCTTCAGTGGAAGTTCTCTTTTTTTCTGCAGAGTGAACTTCAAGCTTTTTATGTAAAACATATATATTTTTTAATTGTATAAGGTCTCAATGCTTTACTATGATATGTATGTCATGCACAGCACTCCACTAACATAATACACTGTAGTTTGCCAAATATTCATTGTCCTAAGTATTTAAATTTTTTTAGCTTTTAAGGTTATTTGTATATTTACATTTGGTGTGAATACTTGGCTTTATTCTTTTTTAATGCTAAATAGTTTCTTAAAAATACCAAAGCAAATACCTTGCATGTCTAAACGTACCAGGCAATGAACTCTATTCTGATGTCACTTGGATTTTTTAAATTGCTGTCACAAATTTGTCAGCCATGGTTGTGTATATTTGTCTTCATTTTATAACTCATTTTGTGTATTTATTTTTTTATTATTGCTCGCCTCTTTTACCTGCTATGCCACTTTGGCTGTAACACTGTAAATGTCCCCGCTGTGGGACTGATATAGGAATTCTGATTCTATTTTTACAGGATTCAAGCCATGGCAATAATAACTTGACAGTAGTATTAAAATAATTTCTGTTGATAGCATCTTTAAAAAGGATACTGTCCTCTTTGCTTTTCTCTGGTGTGCTGTCCATCCCAGGCAGTGCAGCAGCAACGCGGCGGAACAGCTATAAAACAGAAACAAGTAACGATTAAACACATAAAAAAAAGGTGTAGCTAAAGTAAACTGTTGGCAAATAGGGGCGAGTGATTTGGTAACAATCTGCATGTTATTAAATTGACTGATGTTTATTGTAATATAGTTTTTTTTGTTACTGGAAATGTTGAGAAAATGTAAAATATATATTAACCACACAGGAATATCTACCTTTGTAAAATCAGTTCCCACAATGGCAACAACAAGCGATATTGAGGGGTATCTACCTCGGCAATGTGACTCTCTGAATGGACAGATTTACATTGACTCACTATATTTAGTCATCACCCACCCCTACTGTCACATGGGCAATTCAAAGTATTCAGAGAAATTGATCAAAGTTGTAAGAAATCACTCATAAATATATGTATTTCATTGAATAACAGGCAAACACAAGAAGCAGCTTAAGCAGGAATACTAAATGTGATTTTGCTGATTGCGAGAACAGGATCAAAGCGAAGGTTGCCGTGCTAGCCTCCTCCACTGAGCAAACCCATTACAGTCACAGAAACACTTTGAAGCTGCAGAAGTTATAGTGAATAGGACAAAAAGTACTTGAGAAAAACAAACAGAGTAGCAGTAAACTTGTGCAGAAACATCTACAAGCAATGCCTGTGGGGGGAAACACAACCGATACAGTATATACTAATAATACCAAGACATGTCACGATGAGCCAAGAGAGGGGGGGAAAAGGAGACAGAAGGAGTTAAGAGACTTTGAGGGCAGAATTAGCTCAACTACCTCGAGACAGCAGAATCTCTACCTGTTTGACATTGTAGCCAGTCTTTGCGCTGGTTTCAATGAACATGACATTCAGTTCCTTTGCTCTCTGCTCACCCTCCTCCGTGGTGATCTGTCTGCTCAGGTAGAAGCAGAGATGGGAGATGGACGAACAGACAGACATGGAAAGAAACATCGCAAAGAGGACAGGCCAGAGGGAGAGTGAAGAGATAGAGAGAGAAACAAAGAGAGCTCAACACAGAATCTTGTTTTTTGGGGGTGGAAAAAGAGAGAGGTTAGTTTAGTTATAACACAGACGGACAGAGAGGAAGACGAAGGGAGGGAAGCTGCTGTGCTGAGTAAAGATGAAGCAGCAAGGGGAACGACTCATTCACTCAACAGTCGCACTCTGATCCATTTAGTGAATACATGGGAGGAGTTGTACATCCCAGAAGCTTCAGGTTGGCCTCCCTAACCTAAAAACCATCATGACTACTGTCAGTATTACGACTGCTTTACTGGACACCAACCTGTTTGACGTTATAGCCAGCCTTGGCACTGGTCTCTATGTACATCACATTGAGCTCACGAGCTTTCCTCTCTGCCGCCTCAACAGAAACTTGCCTGCCATGGTCCCGGGGAGGGAGGGGGGGGAGTGGTGTGAAGTGTGGTGTTGAGGGAAACACAAACAAAACAAAAAAATCAAAATGACATGGAGAGAACAGAGCAGGAAAGGGGACACAGAAGTAAAACAAAAAGAAAGAAATATGATCAAAACATTAGAAATAAAAAAATACATGATAATAGTCACTAAAATCACTCAGAAAAAGGGCTGGGGTTTGTAAAATGCCATGGGATGATAAAAGTAAAAGTTGGATGAGATGCAATGAAGGGAAGAAGGTGGGAATCCAGGCTTTGGCAGTATAAAACTATACTTTAATACTTCATGCTAAGCTATTTCTAATGTAATAAAATGATAAAAATGCATTCTATTTATTAAGTATTGTAACTAGGATAAGAAAATCATTACAATCTTTCACACATCTCACACAACCATGTACCTTTTATCCGCCAAGTCTGTTTTGTTCCCAACAAGCATGATAATGACATCACTTCCTCTCTCTGTTCTAACATCATCAATCCACTTTGAGGTTTGCTGGAATGAATTCAGATCTGTGGATGAAAAACCCCCATACAAAATTACTGCAAACATCACATCATGTAGCCCCTAAAGACATAAAAATATTTGATATACTAGCTATAGTTAAAAGATTGCATAAGCAGTAATACTTTTCATTAAAAAGGAAGAGCATCTTGTGTAATTAAAGCTTGTAGAGAAGTGTTAGTCAGAAAGAGTAATAATAAGAAAAGCTTGAATAAGGAAAATATACTTAGAGAAATACAGGAGGTTATAAGCAGAAGTACATAAAGTAGGAACTATGCAAAAAAATAATAGCTTCCTTCCAACTGCTCTAGAGCCCTACAGAAAGGTTAGAGTACAGCCCTGACTCACTGGTGATGTCATAAACAACCACGGCAATGGTAGAGTCACGGATGTAGCTGGGAATTAGGCTACGAAAACGCTCCTGTCCAGCAGTGTCCCAAAGCTGGAGTCGGACCTGAGGATTGGAACGGAAGAGAAGAAAAGGACAAGGAGATAAAGAGGGGAAAGGCAGAACAAGAAAGTGGAGAATAGGACAGTCATAAAGGAACTGCAAGCCAAGTAGCAGAGATGAAAATGGCCTTTTTATTGGAGGAATGGGGAGAATCATTCAGAAGGGTCAGAGATGACCAGCATTATTATGCTGTTAAGACATGTTAAAATCGGCCCTGGTGATTCAGAATTGAGGGCGGCTTCAGAGGATCTCTGCCAATGAGGTGACATCAGAAGAGATATTCCCTTACTCCTTCCATCATATGTAACATTTACAAAGCACAGACCCCCCTGGACACTGCTGGAGAAATGCTTTAGTGATAAAAACAGTCTCCAATATCATGCTGTCCAGTGGGGTTTGCCAAGCTAGTAAATGCTCTATTTTTTTGTTGCCCATCCACATACTAAGTGAAGGACAAGGAGGTGAGGCAAGCCCATGATACCTACTCGCTATGTCATAAACCACCACAGCGGCGGCTGAGTCGCGGATGTAACTGGGGATGAGGCTGCGGAAACGCTCCTGTCCGGCTGTATCCCAGAGCTGCAGCCGAATCTGTGGCCAGCCGTGAAATGAATGTGGGAAGGGGGAGCATTTCATGACCCAGCCAGGGGATGGAAGGAGAACAAAAACTTCAAATAACGATGGAGTCTAAAAACATGATCAAACGTCTAACAAAGAAATAAATGGTTACATCTAAGGTAATGTGAAAACAATGTGAACTGGTGAATGGGAATTAAATGGTGGCTATTAAACACTGAGTGCATGCGTTTTAATCTATGTCAATGGGAATGATGAATAGTAAACAATAAAATATGCAGGACTTACCGTGCGATCTTCTAGGTACATGGTTTTTGACAAAAAGTCAATGCCAATAGTTGCCTGTAAGACAATCAATGCATACAAACATGGTTATGGAGAGAGCACTTGACAATGCATAACATCCATATAAAATGTCATAATGACCTCATTGTATATTGAATATTATATAAGCCTAAAGATATTTTTCAGAACATTTTGACACTAAAACATTAATATGGCTCTGTATAAATCATACATAATTCATCATACACACTAGCAAAGAATTGACCTGGAAGATCATGAAAGGGCCCTGGTTTATTAAAATAATACTATAAATTATTATTACATATATTAAAAATATATAAAATAAACACAATTTTAACCATTAAATCTGTGTCTTGGCAAACTTAATTGGCATCATATTGTAATGAACATGCGTTATTACCTGATAAGTGTTGTCGAAACTGTCATACATAAACCGTGTGATGAGAGAGGTCTTCCCAACTGTAAATCACAGAAACAGACACGTTCAGACTTGTTCCTGGTAATAAAAGACCACATTCTACAAGCCAAAACTCAGAAAAAAGTTCAGATTAATATCCAAGTCGCCTGTATCAATTATAATTTTCTATTACAGAAAGTAGCTAATCAATCACTCTACGACAAAACATACTTATTTTTATTATTATTTTCTTATGTATTATATGAATTTACCATCAGCATTATCCTGCACAACTCCCCTTCACTTTTTCTATTGTTCTGTGTTTTTTTTGTCAAAGGTATATTGTTTTTCATGTAAAGAAAACATGTTATTCTGCTTTTCTTCCAAATGTTTATGAACATAACAGTACATTCCAAATGTATATTTATGTATAGATATCGTAATTGTAAACAGCTTCAGCAATACTATGCATTAAATACATTATCGTCATGCCAATAAAGCTATCTGAATTGAATTGAATTAAAGTGCCATCATCATTGATGCAAGTGGACTGCTGAACCCACACGCTGAGCTGGCAATATGGGTGGAGCCACAACATTTTGGGAAATAAAAATAGCTTGACTTGTAATATTCTAGATAAACAGTAACGTTATGTCACTACTGTTTTAGACAATCATCCCTAAAATACAACCACGTTATAAAATGTCCGAATGAGTGTCTAAAAGCCGACGTTAAACGGTATGTGAGAAGGCCGACTGGTCTGGAGCCACACTGGCCGACGTGGCTCTGCAAGGTGCTCCCGTAGGAAGCTAACAGCTAGCGGTAAAGAGTTGAAAAGCTACACTGACAGATACGGATTCACTTAATTCCCTTGACGTGTATGGGGTGGTCTCATATTTGAAATTAAATATTCCCACCACAATATTGAAAGCAACAATTGTGTTTTGATTAAGAAGTTAAATAAGGTATTAGCTTACAATAGTGATAATGTATTTAATACTGGGACAGCTAACTGTTAGCTAAAAGTAGTTAGCCAGCTACGATTAGCTACAGTAGGAGGATGCTGATCCCATTGCACTAACGACCACAGTAAGGACCACTGCTTTAATCAAACAACATACCATCAACTAAATAAGTCCGAAATCTTGATGTTATGAAAGGGTAACTCTATTTATAGTAAGCATTTATCGTTAAAAGCGAAATGTTTGCCTAGCTTACAGATGTAACGTTAGCTAGCTATGCAATGACATCATCACGGGTGTGAAAAATGACAATTATATTTTTTTGATCCTACACTCTCTTTAACACGTTGTTCAAAGCAAACTGTTAACATTTCGTTCTGTATCATCACTGGCCGTTATTGACCTTTGGATACGTTTATCCTGCTGGCCAGGAGCGAACGAGCTGGAGATGCTAGGCGGCTAGCTATGCTAATGCTAGCCACATCTCCACAACATATTCCTCACATCAGACCAAATGAACACTTGGTACAAGTACTCCGTAACTTGCTTACCACTCTGTTCGCCCAGAAAGACGAGCTTGAACTTTCGTAGAGGGTTGCCAAACTCTCCGCCGCCGGTCGTAGTTGACATTTTGTACAGAAAATAAACAGCTAACTAGCTGACTTGATGCTAATGATGTGATGTCTAGACCGGAGAGGCAAGTAGTGTATCTCTATCCTGCACTAGCAAGCGCTATTGTTTTCTTACACGTTCAGAAGTGAAATAGCGCAACCAAGAGGCAACTTCTGACAGACAACAGAAATGGTAAAGTAACGCGTAAATGTCCACAATTTCATTGGGATAAATGGCTATTTCTTTTATTATTCCTAAGTATTTTCACAGTAGGGAGAAGTACTCAGATATTGTACTTAAGGAAAAGTCGAAGTACCATAGTGTAGGAATACTCTGTTACATGTAAAAGTCCTGGATTCAAAATGTTACTCAAGTAAAAGTATTAGCATCAAAATATACTTAAAGTACTCAATATGCACATTTGCCAATTTCAGAGTAATATATGATATGTTTTGATTCTATCATGATGCATTAATGTGTTAATTGTGTGTTATGTTTTAACTGCTTTGTATAGGGTAGTCTGTGAATGTTTCTCCATGTGTAACTAAGTAAGTCTTATTTAAGTGTTTTTTTACACATCATTAATCCAAATATGCAGATTAACTAAAGGTATTAAATAAATGTGGTGGAGTATAAGTACACTTTTTACATCGTAATTGTAGTGGGGTAGAATTACAAAGCAGCAAACAAATGTAAAATGTAAATGTATTTTGTTACTTTATACCACTGAATATTTTTTAATAGATTTGTGCTGGAAACAATTGGTGAACATTTACTGACATTAGACATACAGGTAGATTACTCTGATAAAGCTGACAAAAAAACTTGTTTAAATAAAGGCATAAAGAAAATGAAGAAGAACATAAATAAAAATACACTCTTTGCCAATGGTTTTCAATTTGAGTCACAATCTTTAGCTATATGGTCCAGAGCAGGGCATTATATCAACTATTTACAAAGAAATGTGTTGCTGTTCATTTGAGTCACAAATGAAATATAAGCGTTTAACAAAAGTAAAAATATATAAATTATCTCAATATAGAAACTAAATAGATTAATCATACGAATTTTGGCATTTTATCAAGTTATTGGTTTATATAGGAAGGTTTATAGTTTCAAAAGCAAATTATAGTTATTAACATAAAAGTTTGTAGCAAAATAAACAAACATAATCCAATAACTGGTGAAACAATGTTTTTATTTCCTTTTCTTGACCAATAAAGAATGACACAAGTAGGAGTATTTTGGGAGTTTATAAACAAACATAATTCAATAATTGGGGAAACAATGTATTTATCACCTGTTCTTGTCCAAAAAGAATGACACAAGTAGGAGTATTTTGGTAATTTCACACACAACGCAATAAACATTAATTGAAGGGTTGTCAATCTTAACACACAGAAAGAAGAGTCTACTCTAATGTTAATTTCCTTACACAAGAAAATATTATTGTATCTAATTATTGCTTTAATGGAATTCATGTAAATGTCCCATAGAGTTTAGACTATTTTTCAGTAACTCTTGTGGTGCTCTCACGGTGATGCCTAATAAAACTGTATATGAACATGTGAAATAAGAACATTTAGTGACTTAATGACACTTTGTGCTTCTTTTTTTTACTGGTACTGAGTTCTTTTGTGTTCTGAGTTTTTGTCAGAGAGGTGATTTTCCTTCGATGGTCATCTCAATCCTCCATGGCTTCGATTGAGATGTCGACCCTGTTGGCATGAAACATAACAACCGATTCTGTGAGTCCAACACTACAATAAAATGGTAATATTAATGTTTATTAATGTCATTTTTAATACAAATGTAAAGTTAAAAGGTCAAACTCAATCAAGGGCCATCACATTTAGCTTCTTTCCGAAGTCCTCATAACCTTAACTTTGCAATTGCTCATCTTTCACATGAAAGATGGAACAAGGTATTTATTATTAGAAAATACATGCATTGCAGCCCTTGAAGAAGTTAACATACATTGACGTAAATATACTATATCAGTGGTTACCTCACCTGAACCAAATAGGTTTTTAATCCAAAGTGCTGTGTTTAGGAAAACAAACAAACACACAGGAGAAAAGTATAAGCAACATGTCACAAACTAAAAAACACAGGCCAATGCATGTTTTTCTTAAAGACTGTTTTATACTTACACTTCTGCTCAGGATACACCAATGATAAGCGGTTTAAGGATGAAAGGGAAGGGAATTAAATAAAACATGTTAATAAATTCATATTTTCTATATTTGTTTTAATGTTTGAAGTGTCTCAGGAAGCAAAATAAAATTGCAATAAAGTGAAAAATCACTGCACTCACCTGCGGGTTTGGGGGACATCAGAGTCAGAGGAAGCTCCACTGTGACATCGCTGAAACGAAAGAAAGATTTTATTCTAAAAAAATATACAGAATAGTTCATTATGTATTATTCAAACTAATAACACTTGACCAAAGGTGATGGGTGGTCAATATTTACCTTCCTGTAAGTCCACCGAGCAGGCTTTTGTGAGAAATAAGAAGAACATTTTAGTCTGCACAATTTGACACTAAATGTAAAAGTATTCTCCGCTAATATTTTCTATGCAGTTAAAACGTACCCTCCGCCAGCCACCATTAGGTTGACTTTGACTTTGTAGGAGACGAGGATTCCCTGCATTTCCTTTTCTCCTTGACTCCTGCGAGAAGACAGAAATAGTTTTACCTTTCAGAGCTTGAGGATTTGGTCTAAGACACAATAAGAGGATGAAACCCTCTCCTGGGCTCACTGTAAGCCCTTTGACGAGAGAACTAGGCTTACAGGGTTGTGGATGCTAAGTTGGTGTCGCCGTCTTTTAGCCGTCCGTCAACTGAAAGACCTCTCTTCTCAACGCTGTTGGCCAGCAGGGGGGTTATTTGGAAGGACTTCTCCAATGTACCATTGGATTCAACTGTCTCCCTGTGTATAGCAGTGAAATACATAAATTACAAATTACAAATTGACATTATTTGTGTTAATTAACCTTTTTTCAACACCCAGGGAAATGTAACAATGACTCATCTTTTTAGTAGCTTCATTACTTCAATATAAGGGAATTGGAATGTGAAAATATACCTTATATAGCATATGTTTTAAGAATAATTAGGCAGAAAGTCTCTAGATACAGTGAAAGCCTTACCCAAACTCCTCAGTGGACACTGCCTTGGTGTAAGTGTCAGATGAGTAGAGCACCACATTTGTTAGCTGCTCAACTAAAAGAAAAAAATAGCTTCATTAGAATGATCTATGAAAATATCTCTTGAACATACAATAAATACACACATGCATACTTTAACCCTTATAATTTGTTCTATCTTTATTCAATTACAATCTACATACAAACACAGAATTAAGAATTTCAATTCAATCAAGCTTTAGACCTTTACTCACTGCTCACCTGAGATTTGGATTTTCTTCACAACCTTAGTAGTTTGGTTGTTGATTTTCACACTGACAGTGATTGATTCTCCATGGTAATAAATCTGCAAAAATAATAATTTATGTCTAATTATTTTAGCAACAGTTTAGTACAACAGAAATATAGTATGTAGACTTTGATGTACCTCTTTTTCAAGGGAGGCCTCCAGGTTCACAGGTTTGTCACTCAGCATAAACTGTTTGGATATATCAGCCTTGGGTCCGGGCTTGTTGCTAATTGGTGCAAATTGTATTTTGCGAATCATCAGACGACAAGTGTCCCTAAGAACAGAAAGAAAGACACACAAAGACAGTCAGGGTTAGCCTTTCTATATGTCCTTTATTCTGCTGCAGTGTAAGCTTAATGCATTACATGATTGGGCTGACGGTTTGACTCTGAGCATACATACTTCTTGGGTGGTTCATCTGCAGGGTCGGCTTTCTCTGCAATATATCCTTTAACCTCAAAGTCCACACCACAGGCCTACAAAACAACACAATCCACATATGATGTATTGATCCAACATTCAAAGTACTTTATAAAACTGAATGAAAGGGATAATAAAAATGGGAGTTAGTAGTACCTTGCCTGTATCATTTGGCCCAGGCTGTAGGGAGACTGAGCAGGGGAGATCTGTTGGCATCTATAACAAATAAAACAAAGCACATCAAAAAATAACGTTTTAAATGTGATTACTGGAAAGTAAAAGCAAAGTAATGATCTGTTGGCGATCACTCTAATATTTGACTGAAATGAGTTGTTATGCTCTAAAAATAGTGACTGATTGTGTTGTGATTCTTTACCTGGAAGGAGAAGGGATATCCTTGTTCCCCAACTTTCTTCATGAGGCATTCCTGCATTGGTGTCAGGGTTGGGCTTCCACCTGTGGCAGGATACAACTGAACACGCTGGATCCAGATGTCTCTCCTGAAGGACAGCCCAATAACATCCAAATCCTCACTTCCATAGCGGAAGGCACAAGCAAGGTAGACAAATACTGTAATGAAAAGGGAAATGTTTAGTGTAGTCTTTGGATTGCATAAATGCTGGTTAACCTTTATCATTGACAGCAAATGAAAGAAAGTGGTCCAAATACCTTTTTTGCCATTAAGATTAGCAGGGTCCACTTTAATAACACCATCTGCAAATGAGAGCAAAAAACAAAAGCATTAGATTATACAAACCCACAGAGTGTATGTGTGCACATTTCAGGAAGTTCAAACATAAATTGAGCCCCGCACCAACTATATCCACTGATGCCACATGGTCCGTAAAGTCTCTTTTCCCCAAGTACAGGGCAATCTGAGGGAAACCGAGAAAAGAGGAAAACACTTACTCCTCTGCCAAGGTTACAAGAGTTTGGAAGTTATTTCTGGATTTTGGAATATAACTCAATGCACTCCTCCCTAAGCCCAAGAGGTTCCCTGTAATGATTATATTATAGAGGCCACTTACATCTCCGTTGCCGCTGGTCTTCTTGTATACCCTAAACAGAGAAAGAATGGGAAGACATTGAATCAGTCTTTACATTTTACACCATTCATTTACAGCTCATTTAGAAAAAACCATGACACCTTCAGGATCAAGTCCAAATGTCCCCCTTGTAATGCCATTTTTTGTTGCTTATTGCTTTACAATAATTGTGTTATTTTCAGGCAATAGTGTTGTGACTTCTTAGTTGCCATCTCCCATTAGGATAGCACCCACCCCCCCTCCCTCCCCACCGCTCAGGGATTAGTGCTCAGGATAGAAAGTCACCTGCTGGCACGAGTCTAATCTGGACATAAAACGAAATGTGTTTTAATAAGTCAATGCATTGTTATTTGCAACACATGCAAAATGAAAAAAATCCCATTGTGAATCACAGTTTGGATTTTTGTTAATAAATGCTATACTTGGCCTAGACTACACTCATGGAAATGGTGTTTTCCTGAAAACTAATCCTATGTTCCTTAGTGTTGAATACTGCTTGTAAACATGTGAAATACTCAAAATTAATATCCCAAATATTTGTTTGATCAATTTATTTCCTATCCATGCGAGCGCAGTCTCTTTGCTCCATGCCACAAACCAGCAGGTAATCCTTTGTGGGGTTGGTCTCCTTCCGAGGTGTCCCAAGTAATCCTGTTTAACTTTACTTTTGTATTGTAAACCTCTTTTCAAGGATCACGTCGACACAATCCACTTTAATCAGGATTTACCCATAACCTGTAAGACTGCAGTGTTATTAGTCACAGAGCTTCTTTTGGCATGCCTCTGCCAAGTATTCTTTTCTACTTTGACCCTGCATCCTGAGCCTCTCTTGTTTTCATTAAATGAATCAAGTTTCAAAATGTAGTCATTTATTAAAACACAAGGGGACATTTTAAACTCTAATGTGAAACAGTTACTATGTGAGGATAGCCGGTACATTCATACTCACTTTGTCATGTTGATAGATCCGGTCTGCAAATAAAAAAAGATGAAAATACTTTTGAGTGACCAAAAACATGAAGACACTTTTGGGAGCATTGTTTGATTTGTATTAATCAATATATTTAGTATGTTGTAGCTTTTGAAAAAACATGATGAAAGAATATGTCCTCCTTTTTTTAACGTTGTAATCCCATTTCATTTAATAATAAAGAATACTGATGACGTTTATCAATTACCGATGACTGTTGTGCCGTATACATCTAGATTTCTTCTGTGGTAGAAAGAGTGCCTTTCTGACTTTACCAAATACTTTAAAATATTTTTAAAGACATAATATTCCTCAAACTTGGCATCATCAAGCATGCTGTTCCTGTCAGTTGGATTAATTGTTTAAAGCTCTATGAATTACCAACATTTAAACAATTCAGTAAATGCTGATGCTCCTCTGCGAGTTTATTATCATCATTACAATGTGTATTTTAATATGCTGTTGGTCAGCAAGAGAAAAAGCTCTGCTTACCGTTCAGTTCTGTCAATGAGTCCTCTCTGCTGCCTTCTTTAATCCTGCACTGTCAGCGAACACCGAGTGTATGAGTGCCAGCCCTACCTACAGTTTGGTTTTATAGTGTGACCTCCAACCTTGAAGTCCTCCCCTCAGCTTATCCAGCCTGTCAAAGATGGCAGAAAGTCAGATTAGTTGATTAGAACATACTGTTTTGGTGCACAGTGTGTGTAAAAATAATGTTGTGTTGTTACTTCAAGAGAAAAAGCTCAGAGACACATGCAGTTGTGTGGGCGGGACAGACATGAGTGTAAACAAATGTCTTGGAGTGACAATATGTTGGACACTTTGCTGGAGTTTGGATCAATCTCAGATTTTCTACATGTGTGTGCTGCAGGATGTGAACAATATTATACTTTACATTTTGCACATCCCGTTTTATGTGGTTCAATTAACAGCAAATATAAAAAACTTACACAATCTTCTTATTAAAGCCTAATTTCTAAATAATGGTGGGGCACATGCCAAGTTTTTCACTGATATTAATAGAATAACTGGAGGGGATTTCTCGAGGTCCGTGTCTCTGAGGACTTGATTCAAGTGGTTCACTGGTAAAATACTTATTTAAGTTATTTGCTTTAAGTTTTGAGATGCTATTTGAGCATCACTAGGGTCAAAGGATTGTCTCGTCAATCAACCATGCGTGAATGTTCAAGGATTTCCTTTCTTATAGCTTATCCTGAGTAGAGTGGTATTAGTTGGATTTTGGTTGTTATGGTAGCAGGGACAGATGGCACCTCGACTTAGCTCTGTGCAATCTGTGATCAAGGCAGGTTCACAGAAATCGAAGGCATCCCAGACTTACTACTTAGCAAGCAAGGCTTTACATCTCGTGTCCCAATTACAAAACCATAATGTCCTTCAATGCTACTTCTATTTATTTGTGGTTGCTATTTAAGGAGTCACAGGTTTAACATGGTGTTCTTTCCTTTATCAGGTTTTTCAAAGGACTCGCTTACATTGGCAGTGACCAGGGGCGTTTCCTGGACCTGGAAACATTCGGGGCTTAGCCCACAGTGCCGCCAGAGATTTTCTTTTTGGGGGTGCTGTGGGGTAGCTTTTCATAGAGGGTGCTCAAACATATAGGGTTTCCCATTAAGGTACCGGGCTACAGTGGCATTTTCTACTGTAGCCTCACCTCCTCTACGGGGGTCCGTGCTCCCCCGGGAAGATTTTTTTTAAATATTGAAGTTAAATGCATCAATCTGGTGCACTTTGAGAGCAAAATTAAGAGATCTATGGATACATCTCTCAACATCCATATGAAACAGAACTGTAAACAGATTTACTTTTTCTTTATGGATATTTTACAAATCACTCCCCTTTTAAACTCTATTCTTGTTTTACTGTCATATAGTATTTATTTTTTAGTGAGTTACTCAGATGAGCACCAGGAGACAGCATTTGGTACTCACCCCACACGAAGCGTGGTCCTCCTGTGTCCTTCACTGTCCTCTATTTACACTTCTTGCATGCTAGATGATGAAGATGCACCTCCCTGTCTCTTTTTAAGCCTCCGATTTGCTTTCTCCAAAACTTGTTGCCAAAACTGTGAAGTCCTTGCATTTCCTGAGGCCAAGTTGAAGGATCAAATACTAAGAAATGATCACATGACTTGAAGTCATATCTGATTTCAGATGTGGGAAGTTACTAAGTACACTTATTCAAGTACTGTACTTAAGTACAATTTTGAGATATTTGTACTTTACTATACTTTGTACTTCTACTCCACTACAGTTCAGAGGTAAATGGTGTACTTTTACTCCACTACATGTATTTAATACCTTTAGTTACTTTACAGATGTGGATGAATGATGTGAAATATAATCAAGTCTTAAATCAGACTTTAGTTCCACCTGGAGTAAATTCACAAGCTACCCTGCAGTATACAAAGTCATTCAAACTAGCTGCACCTTTACCAGCTTTGAGAACACTTTCATGATCAATCATTATAAAACATATCATATATATTATTCTGAAATGGACCAATCTGCAGAACTTTTACTTTTGGTACTTGAACTATATTTTGATAATACTTTTCTAATTTTACTTGAGTAACATTTTGAATGCAGGACTTTTACTGTAACAGAGTATTCCTACACAAGATCTGAGTACTTCTTCCACCTCTGTCTGATTTCAAACTCTTCCATTAACACCCTGAGTAAGTTTGTTGTAAATCCGCTTGACCACAGAGCTAAAGCCCCGAATGCCCAGGCCAGGCGACGCCACTGGCAGTGACCTTTAGTACAGTACTCCATCTTGGCACCCGGCTTTAGAGGTAAATCTGAGGGATTGGTCGAGGATCTTCTCACCTCCACAGCTTGATGTAATTCATTGCCTGTCCGGTTTTGTGGAGCGATTGTCACACATTGGCGGGTCAAGTTTAATTAATTAGATTGGTGGATGTTCCCATTGGACTCAATTGACCTGTCATAAGGGGACAAGGGTTAACCCAGACAAGACTGCAACGCCGGATCATCAGCCAGGGTTAGGCTAGGTTACTTTGTCACAAATACAAAGTAATGCTCTTTAATGCATTAAAGCTGCTCTCCTAAACTTTCTACTCTAGTGCTCCATATATAACCAAACCAGCAGCGTCACTCTTATATGTATGACTCTAATATTCACATCAGTGCCATAAAATCCACACAGCTTGGAAAGCATGATTTAGACGGCTGTAATATACCAGATGTCACTGTATGCAATTCAAGCAAACGATTGCTTTTGGAAGGGGCTGAAATGTGAGCTCCTTCATGTAAAATAGGGACTTTAAAGGTCACCTATTATGCAAAATCCACTTTTTCATGTCTTTTCTACATAAACATGTGTCCCCTCTGTGTAAAGAGATTCTGAAAGTTTCAGGAAAAAAGATTCACTCACTTTTTGTCCTGATCCATTTATATAAAAACCTGTCTGAAAATGAGCTGATGAGATTTTGGCCACTTTATGATGTCATAACGATTTTTTGGCTTGTGTAACCATTAGCCAATAACCAACCAAGGTAACACCCGCCCACCTTATCACCTGAATCTCCTCCTAGAGCACTATTGTGTTTTTTTTAACTAAATATCTCTCAGAGGGGCGTGGGGAGGGGCTCCTTATTTTCATCTAAAGTAACAGACAGAGAATCAGCACTTTTGAAACAGGGCTGAAACAGAGGGGATTATGGGATGCTACAATGATCTGTTTGGTGTTTGGAGCCAAACACTTCAGAGACTTGTTTTGTATATATCTGAGACCTATAATGCAGGTCTCCCTTGAAAAAGAGATCAATGATCTCAATGGGATTTCACCTGGATAAATAAAGGTTTTGAATTTAATTGAATAATATATTGATGAAAAACAATATAATAGGGGACCTTTAATGTAACTTAAAAATAGAAAACTAACAGAGCTCAGTATTTTCCTTTAAAGGCCCAAAACTCCATCTCCCACCTCATATCTTTATATATATATTAAAAAATGCTGTAACATGTGTGTAAATAATTTCTCTCATCTGTGTATGAGTTTATAATGATAATGATGAATTGTCCCTCTATATATTAAATATGCAGGTTCTGCTTAAATTCACAGGCAATAGCTTTTTAAGCTGCTCTATACCCTGTTCTTACTTTGTTATATAAAATAGGTAACCTGAACGCTTCCATAAGCTTTTCTTCTGTGTATTCTATTATTGGCATCCACAGTCATTTTGATACAGACTCTGTGCGCTTCGCTGGGCTAACAAAACACATCTGGGTGGAAGCAGCCAAACAGCACTGACTCAAAGCTTTACATCTCATGGGCATTTAATTAGAACATTTAAAAACTGACGCTCCATCCAGCATGCTTAATAAATACTTTTGGTGTATTAATAAAATGTATTCACAGGCCTCTTGGGTCAAAGGCAGGTTAAAGGTGTCATTATTAGACATTTATGTACTGTGTGAAGTTTTTTATTTATTTTACCCTGAAAGAACATTGAGAGCATATCCTTAATTAAAATGATGTTGAGCTGTAAAGTAATGTAAACAAACAAAACAGGTTACAATAAAACAACACTATATGATAAATCATAGTTAAAAATACAGTGAAGTATACATAAAAAAACAGATTAAATTCAAGTAGGTAAGAGCATTTACAATTAAGTAAAACCTTAAATAAGGCCATTAAACAGCCGTAGTGGTGCAGATTAATCCATGTAAATATTGCTCTGGAAGATAATGGAATTTACCGTTACAACATATTTGTTGAGAGAGTACCGAGATTATATGAGTTAAGAGTTGAAGGGATCAAATGGAAGCAAATTATTGAAAGAAGGGATCTGTTAGGATATGAATGCATTGCCCTTCCTTGTACACAGTATTTTTTGGATTTGAATTAAGTCAGACATTTAACTTACTCTAATCACCAACATCTCAGATCACCAAGTCAAGTACTAATGGTCGAGCTATACACAGGTCTGTATTATTATTTTTAAGAGTCTGCGTTTCCAGGATGAAGGCACTAAAAAAAACTATCCTAATCTTATTTTCTCTCTCACCTGGGGCTTCCTTCTTCCAGTTTTATCTTTGTGAGGTTACATATAGCTACATAAGCCCCTTACACTTAATCTGGTGCCGTTTTTAGCCAGCTCTTTATGTAGACAGTCAACATTGTCCTTTAGAGTGCCTGCTGACTAGTCACAGTGTGTTACAGCATCATGGTATTACCACTTCTTACCATCACAGTCTTAAGTGTGTGGATAATTTGATTCATTAATGCTGTTTGTTACTTAGAGGGACAAACTCTCTTAGATACTGAGACAAGAAAGTGCTGGCACTGTAAGATTAAACAAAGGTTTGTTGATTTAAAGTACTACAGTGAACATAAATGATTTAAATGATTTACACACTTTGACATACTCTCAGCATGATCTCACTATTGAGAGCTTTCCTGTTAGATTTCTGTCTATTAAGTCTGAAGCCAACTGTCTTTAGCAGCTGCAACTCAACGTACCTGATGCTGTAACTTTGAAGGGTTGCGGCCATCGATTAGAAAGTTAAGTGTTATGTCCTCACAAAGAGCCCTTGATCATCACTATCGTGATGTTACTTAACGTAGTATTGTGTTGCACTTTTCAAAACATAATTCTATAGCTAATTCGTTGCAAGGCATTTGGTGGACTTTGGTGATCAACACTTCCTGTTTGAGAATGTTTTTTTAAAGACATGTAGTTTATTTTATTTTGTTCTTTGGTTGATAATACTGAATGTTTCCATTGAAAATGCCTTACTTTAAGTCTTTAAGATACACTGTGTTTCTGCCTGCATGTTGTATAATCAGGGCCAGACAGGAACCCAGCCCTTGATTATATAATATAAAGTAATCATATTTATCTTTGCTCTTCAAGCATCTCTGTAGATAGGGGGTCGGAATCAAGTTAAATAAAACAATGTAATTCAATTCTAAATCTGATCTCACAGCCGGCATGACAGATGAAAGTGAGGAGCCGGCTATGAGATATGGAGTACATGTTGCTATCCCGGCTGTGTCTGTCTCAGTGTCTAATCCACTGCTTGCATACATTTGATTTGGCCTTTGGTAGAACTGGTTTGAGATGAGAGAGAAGTCATCTTTCTGTAAAGAAGGGGAATGGCACTTGCCCCCACTAACCACTTTGGTTCTTGGACAATGTATTTTTTTTAAATTGCTCAAACCAAATGATTGATCATTTAATTCGATAGAGATAGTAGTTAGCCATCGGATTGTGGCTTCAAGATTGGCATTTTGGCCTTTTACACCTTAGTTATTTGGAACCAGAATTTACCATATTAAGAAAAAAGGGTGGAGCTGGAGAGGAGTGAGGCCTGAGACGCCAAAGTACCGTTAGCAGCTAAATAGATCGATAGATATACTTTATTGATCCCAATTTGGGAAATTCTTCTTCTAAAGCTAAACTAGCTCTGATAGCAACTTACTCCAGTTGGGGTACCACACCTATTGACTGATTTATATTACTAGATTTATTAAATTAACAAATATATGTATTGAAGAAGATTTGAAACTAACAGTTGAGAACATAAACTCATTGGTAAAACGTTTACTCCTTGATTTTGATCTAAATTATGCACTTTTAACGTTTATTTGATGGCATATTAGCCATGGGCGTAAAGTGGTAGGGTCAATGGCCCCTCAGCTCCCCTTCTTCAGACCACGCCAAGTTTTTTAACTTAAATGTGGGGTAGGTAATTTTGGAGAAAGCAGCTCGAGTGTGCTAGAATTTGAAAATACACAGCTGGAACAAATCTGCCACTTCCTTACAGAGCCCCTCCTCCAACACACACGAACGCGCACATGACCAATGAGGGCACGAGATAAGTTTGTGCATAGATGGAAGGCTGACAGGCAGGTAGGCCATCCAGTTATTTTAGCCGGGCCGGCTAAAATGATTGGTCGTGCTTTTTACAGTACTACGGCTTCCACAGATGACATTTTTTTATGGATTTTTTGTCAAAGCACTTAAGATATTCATTGCTATCGGGATATTAAGAGCATTCCATGGAATATAACAAAAAGTGTATCTCGAGCCGGTTTCTCAAACTTACCTACCCCACCTTTAACTTGCATGACATGTGATGATGACACAAACACAGACTTAGAAGCTAAATACAAAATCATCCTGCTGCTGTTGTAAATCAAGGCACAAGTATTCTCTCATAGACTTCTATGAATTTACACTTATTGTTGGAACCAGCAGAGCCGCCCCCTGCTGGTCATTCGAAATATTTCAGGTTTAATGAATGGAGGTTTCCCCTTGACAGATACCCATTGTCCTCAAAGGATGAATCCTAATGATCTTGGTATTCCAAGTAGGATTTATGACCAAATACCAGCAAAACAAATGACATTCGTAGCCTCAGCTGTACTTTGTGTTTAGTGCTAATTTAAATAATTTAAAGCGCTGCTGGACATCCTGTCATATGATATGTCTTTAAAGTATAAGCTGTAGAGAGCTCCTAGCAATATTAAGAAGAACTGATTATGGATAAAGGGTTAACTTGATATGTCATCAGATTGGGATGGACTTATGTCTATTTGTTTTATGGGGCCTGCGGTTGGTGGTCGGCACATTTCTGCTGAGTAGTGAGAGGCAGAACAGTAAATATGGGATCAAACAGCTTCCCACAGAGTTATACGCTCCAGCTAATGGAGAAGGAGGGAAGTAGGAGGGCTGAATCATGGGCGATGTACTAGGAGGGCAAAAATAAGAAAGTGAAGGATGATCATAACCATATGGCTATGGAGGCTGTTTTTTTTTGCTGAGAGGGAAGGAGTGAACAAGAGAAGAAGAGCAGTTTAGGGAGGGTGACGAAAAGAAAAGGGTTGGGACGGGAGAAAGAAGGTTAAAAGGAAGTAAATATGCACGCCAAAGGATGGAACGTCTGAAGATAAAGATGATGAAAACAATGAGGGATTAGCCAGGCAGCTCACCTGCAGTATGCTCTGTTTTCTATTTTGAATTTGAGTAAAGGGGCTGAGTGAGGGAGATATAAAGAGAGGACAGAGGAAGAAGAAAGGAAGCAGTCTGCTGTTTCACACACTGGTGGTGAAGTTGAGCCCCTCGCAAGAATTCTCCTGGCTATGTCCGCCATCTGGAATGTCGAGTCACTTCCTCTGTCTGCCCTGCGCTCTAACAGGGTTGTCCTCTGCCTCTCTGCTCCCTCCCTCTGCTCTGACAGCACTCTGAAGAACCGCTGGAGACCACACCAGTGCGAACGGGACTCTACTGACAAGACACACGAGCCAGCACACAAACATACAGCATGAAAGTGAGACCCCCGGAGCAGCCCCCATCCAACTTCAGAGACACACTCTAAATGGAATCTGGGCCTGGAAGAAGCAAAGACAACTGCAGGCATCAGCTGAACTTTTTGGAGGTTGTTCCTTTTCCCTTATATGGCAACAGAGCTGGGAAATCATTTGAATTAGTCTGGTTTTTGTTGCATGCCTGTCTGGTTTTAGTGCTGACTGAGTTCCATCTGGTATGTTTCTGTCTCTGCTGTGTGTTCGTGTGTGAGTGTGTGGGCCCCGTGTGTGCGGCTTGATTTGTTTGTTTTGCCATTCTTGGTTCTTCTTTTCCCGTTGTTTGCATGTGGGGTTTTTGTTTTGGGACAAGAGGAGGGCTTGTGTTTGTGGTTCAGCTACAGGCTCCGTCATTGCCTCAGGGGTGGCTGCCTCATTCACACTGTGCAGCACCTCTCACTATTTTTCCTCTACCTCTCGCCCTCGCGCTGCTGTGATGGTCTGTGTTTGTTGGAGCAACACACCCACCTGGGCGCAGCTACTTGCAAGCAAAAACTGAAACAGGGTCTCTCTACTCACGGATATTATCGGAAAACTGGACTGGAGCTTCTGTCAAGGAGCAGTCTATTGTTAGAGTGGACTAACCTCACAATCAGCCGGATGTTTCTTCTTTATTCCTCCACTCAACAGGATGTGTGACCCAGAAGGAACCAACCAGGACCAGGAAGTGGTAGTTGGTATATACAAAGTGATGGCTTGTCTGCTTGACACTTTGACCAGCAAGAAAAGGATCATGGGAAAGTTGTAAACCCTAAGGTCGACCACTCAACACACTCTGGCGCTGACAACTTGACTGACAGCGTTATGCCATCTAAGCAAGTCAGACAGTAAATCTTAAAGGCTACATTTGTGTTACGTCAAGTTCATCACCTCATGTGGATTATTTTTATGAACATATCTCCCGTCATTGATTGCCATGGCTACGGCGGCATGGTATCATCGTGACATCAGCCGTGTGCATGCTGAGGATCTGCTGGCACGGGCAGGGAGGGATGGCAGCTACCTAGTGAGAGACAGTGAGTCTGTGCCAGGAGCCTATGCGTTGTGCCTGCTGTGAGTACAAACACACACACACACACATTTACTACTTAGAGAACAACCGACATATCTTACCAATCACAATGAACCGTAAATCCAAGGTACCAAGCTATTATTATCTTAGATGGTATGTTCTGTATGAGCACCTGCAAGCTTGTACATTTATTTGTAAATCACCTCTAGTCAGCAATGTAGCTCTTGGCAGTAGATTCTTGCTTAAACGAAAGGGAATTTGACTCTCTGCACTCATTAGAAATCCTTTTTTTTTTTTTAGAAGTTACTGAATGTTACTTTATACGTAACATTTGATGTGCTCCACCCACTTGAAAATACTTAATGAATGATTCATGCAGGATGTCTTGAAGTAGTAAATGCTGCCCCATGAGAGAAGAAAAAGAAAGCTCTTCTTTTGTGTAAAACTATGCCCAATCACATTCTTTTGTGAAACCTTTAGATGTTGGCGTATAAGATTGGAAACTAGTCATAAACTTAACATTTCTACAGAATGTCTTCATCAGTAAATGGATTCAGCAGCTTCACTCACACTGTCATATCCATCACTTTCACCGCCATCTGCCAGCAAAGAATGGCTCGAGTGTTGCGTACAGGCTGGGCCAACCTCACACATAGACCCTCTCCAGACTAACTGTCCTGTCAAACCCTGGCCCAGGACTCCCTGTTTCCCCTCTTACCCCTATTTCTTCCCTGGGGCCTCTGAAGAGGGCGGGAGCCCCGGCGACCGCACTACGCTGTCTGCTCATCAGCCCGAGCCAGATACATTCCTGAAAGCTGAGCCGGGCCGCTCGCAGTGCACCCTCTTTCCCTTCGTTCTTTTCTTGATATGTCATTCCCCTCTTTTAGTTTCTTACATTTCTCCACACATTTGATGAGCTCATCAAGATTTCATGGTTCTCTTTTGTTCAGGTCATATACAGTAGCTGACTTAGTAAAAGATGGCCTCATTGTTACGTGCTGCCTGAAATAACTGCCTCTGACGTGACGTGATGGAGATGATGATCTAAGTCTCTCACACATTTAATCACCAAAACACGTCATTAGTGATCTGTAAAACAACTGGCGCCTTGTTAAGAAAGTTACAATGTCTTTAACTACAGTTAGACATCTGGTCCGTATTTAAACAATACATTTCAGTACATTTTCCCTTTGAATGTTTGCTCAGAAGCATATGTAGTAATTTGCCATGGCATTAATAGGAGCTATTTTTGTTTTCCTAAGGTTTCAACGTCATGTTCACACCTATCGTATTCTTCCTGATGCAGACGGCCTTCTAGCAGTTCAGGTGAGTTTTTATCTCTACACAGATCCTTGTGCCCTGCCTGACAAGGACAACCCGAGGAAAGAGACATTCGATGTCTTGGCACAAACTGTACACAGAGAGAGAAAAACAGCCAGTCAGATGGAGTTAGAGGGATCAAACAATGGCTTGTTATTGCCTGTTTCAGGGAGAACAGGAATGTTTGTGTTTCCTCTCTGTACAGGCTCTGTTGCGAATGCTGTAGCCTTGTTGTTTGAAAGGCATCTCTGCCATGTGGTTACATGCTTGCAGCATTAAGCTGAGCAGCACAGAGGAGAAATTGTTTTAATGTCTCAGAGATTCCTACTCAGCAACCCACACACTAGGTCATTGACCACTGGGTGTGCTTATTTGTTATGTATGGGGGTGTTTGTATTAGAAATAATGAGTCTGTTGGATGTGGCATCGTTAAGACAGGGATGGTATGACTATGGTTTTTAAACTCTGAGCAGGGGGCCATTTAGTCAGCAAATGATCTAACTACATGATAATGAACACACACACACACACACACACACACACACACACACACACACACACACACACACACACACACACACACACACACACACACACACACACACACACACACACACACACACACTCGCAGTTGGTGAGAGAAAGTAAGAGAGGGAGAGAAATACAGGAGAGAAATAAACAATATCGGGGCCTAAAACCACAAATTATCTGCGGCTTCAAAAGAAAAATAAGCGATGTCTGCATTCTAAAGCCCAATAACAAGTTTAATAATGATTGTCTGGCAGTCGTATTTAAGCCTCTGACTTGGAAAATCCTTTGCTTTCAAAAGAAGGCCTTAAACTTTGTTGCTATTTCAGTTGTGTTTCCACTGCCATCAGAATTAACCTTCAGTACGTATTTTCCCTCCCTGGATTTGGTCCACTAACTCACAAGTCGCATGCTTGCCTTTTTGCCTTTCCAAGATGGCTATGGAGATATTTGAGGGCCCATTTTGTCTCTCACTGTCTCTCTTTCCTTGTCATTTCTTTTGAATTGCTTTTCAAGAGATCCTTGTGGTACAAAGAATACTATTTGAAGAGGTCCTGGCAACACAGACGGTTAGCTCGAGCCAAAAAACGGTTTCTTTCACCGCAAAATGAAAACAAAAACGTCTAAAACGAGGGCACAGGAAAAGAGCTTGGTCTGTGTGGTCTAATGTGAACCATGTTGGTGTTCTTGCATGTGACCAGTAGCATTGTTAATATATGCATGCAGCACCTGTGCACAGCATGTGTGTTTATTTAAACTTCATTTTTGCCTGTACTGCTTTGAGTGCCACTGAAGTGTGCAGGTTTTTGTTGAAACGTTTGACAGGTGATTGTGGCTTAAATGTGAACATATGCATATGAAACTTCCTTGCCATCTTTATTTTGATGACTTTTTAGATTAACTGTGAATGTTGAGCTACAATACAAAATGATAGCCAACATCTGCTGCAGCCAGGAAGTAAACCCGTGATGTCACCTATCCTGTTTGGTGCAGGGGAGAGCATTCTAAACTCCCCTGGGACTCTTTTTATCACAGTAAATCATCTGCATATGCCTTTTTCTTTTTCATGCAAATGAATGCTTCTGTTTTGTTCCATCAAGCAAGATTTCCGAGAGAGGGCTGGCATCCGCTATAATAACCACATAAAGTATACAAGTTTGCCTTTGTGTTCATTTAAGATAGATAGATAGATAGTTAGATAGATAGATAGATATATAGATAGATAGTTAGATCATATAATATTTAGACATACTATGACAGCATAGTAGGCCTTCTTAGTGTCGTTTCAAAAAGCCTCATATGAAATAATTTTATCAGCTGTTTTATAAAAAAGTTTGAGAACAAATAAGGAATTGAAATTGCAACATTTTTAGCGAGGCCTTGAAACTGCAGACCATGCTCACGTGTATTTCTTCGCGTAGACACACACAAAGCAAGATTATCAAAAGCAAAAAATGTATTTAAACCCCTACATTTATATCCAAAAATGTTTCTACATACAACATCAGTGCGTTGCGTGCGTGTGTATATTATGACTCTATCATCTACAGTGCACTTGTGTACGGTTTCTGTGGTCTTTCCAGTTTTTGTTGAAAGAAATGACAGACTGTAAGCAGCACAGACACTCATGTGATTTATACTGTACATGTATGCAATGACTTCTGCCCTGTGTCTACGTGTGTGTGTCTCACAGACGACACAGGGGGTGCAGGTGAACTGTTTCCGGACAGTGGAGGATCTCGTGTTGGGGTACCAGCATCCGCACAAGGGCCTGGTCACTCCTCTGCTCTACGCTGTTCCCCGGGATTCAGACACTGGGGATGAGAGCTCAGGTGGGCCCTCTAGCTGCTGTCACAGCACATCACCCAACACTGTAGAGCAGGGGTGTCAAACTCAAGGCCCGCCCCATTTTATGTGGCCTGCAAAGAATATAATACGTTTATTATACAGTTACATGCCGCTGAACAGAAGCACGTTGCCGATGAACTACATGTCCCACAATTTTCTTTTCTTTTGTATTACTGCCAATTTTTATTCCATCTTTTATTCTTTTTTACTCCATTCCATTGCAATGTTATTTTTTACTATTTTTCTAAACCTACCTGGTAATATTCTGATTCTGATGCATCTAATTTTGTGACATGCGCAATGAAGAGACTTGCAATTATTTGCAGTTATGTAATATAATACATTATTTTATATATATTATGTATTTATATATGTATATTTATATAGTCTTAAAGTTACATCCGGCCCTTTGAGTGCAACCATAATGCTAATGTGGCCCGTGATGAAATTGAGTTTGACAGCCCTGCTGTATAGCATGTACAGACTCACTGAATTGTGTATTTGTGCATATGCAATAACAACATACATACATATTAACATCTGTGCTACTTTCAGGTTCTGCAATATGTATTGGTATTGATTTAGTTTGATTTGATGTTTCATGCATGCACAGATGATGAGAAGCCGGCTCCAGTTCCTGGCCCTGTCCACACCGCACCTTCCACTGGACCACCAGCAAAACCAGCCCCTCATACCCTGTTCCTGGATAAACTGCAGGAGGTGAACACATCCAGGTACAACACAGAACCATACATGCAGTTTGCCAGAAGATAATCCTGCATAGCGCTCATCTGTGCTGCTTGTGTTGCTAATAAAGAGCTGCTAATTATGCGACAGTATCGGATTGATAAATATATGTGACTCTTTATTTAGTGTCACATTAATGTTAGCCATCTGTTATGTTCACAAAATAAGTCTTATTTAAATACGCACCTGTTTGCAATCAAGCATAGAGAAAGCAACATGCAAAACACTCCCTATTAATAAACAGAGCTAATTGTTATCTTCTGTATGGTTTTTGCCAATAATATCCAAAGAGTGAAAGTGGCTTGCACAGTATCTAAAATATTACAGTCTGAATTCTGTCTTGTTAAAACCCTGTTTACAGTACTGCAGGGGAGGTGATCGGTCTTCTCAATGACTACCTCTTCAGTGAGCTGCCTCTTGACATTGAGAACGTGCACAAAGGTGCAACGACGCTGTGCCACCTCAAGCGTACTCTGGGTACTGCGTGCCAAGGCTTAAACAGGTTTGCATGTTTATAAACTGAATACTAAAACAAATAGTATCAATTGATGATACAGAACAATAATTAAATAATAGATTTGAGTCTTTATTAATTATTTGCAGTGCCAGTGTACAAACATAGATGTTTGTAAATGGATATAAATCATCAAACTAAAGGTGTGTATTGATCTGATCTACAGTGAGATCGACCTGACTCTCTCAAGTCTGGAAACCCTGGCAAATGTCTTTGACCATCCCAGCTGCTCTTTAACAAACACCAAAGCACAGGTAAGATACAAAACATTAATTAGGCTTTCCAAAGAGCTGTAACTAGCTGTCCTAATAATAAAGGAGCAGTCATATGTAGGGATGGGTACCGAGCCCCGGTATTAAACGGGCCCCGGGGCTGAATTATTAAAGACCGTGGTACCGTTAATCTCCGACGTTATCGGTCTTTTTATCGGTACTGGAGACATCTAAAAAATATGTCATGTGTATTATTGCTACACAAACATTATATTGCAGTTTTAGTGTCGCCAACTCCGTTTCTAACACGCAAAAAGACTGCAAAATGCGTCATTTTTAGTATTTTCGATCTCTCCAATCCAGACGAGAGATCTCTCTCCCCCGTCTGTGTGCGAGGGGGCGGGGCAGTTTACACACACGCAGCTGCTACATGCAGCAACACACACACACGGAGGAGATGGCGGAGAGAACGCGTTCCGAGGTGTGGTTCAACTTTACCCGTCTCGCTCGTTGCCTAAAGTGCAATAAGAGTTTAGCATGTCAGGGCGGTAACACGAGAAATTGGTCTAAACATTTAGCAAAAGTGCTCCACATTCAGACGGAGGAATGCACCGGGTTCGACTGTCTTTCTAGTACCTCTGTAGCCCCATCCACGAGTAACGTTTCCACGTCAGGTGTTATGTATGCTAGCAGCAACACACGGAGCTAACTCAATGATACAAAAACATGGGTTGATGATTAGAGGTAACTGAGTTATTTAGTTTGTTACAGTTTCAGCCATTCTGTTCACAGTTCTGTCATCACATTATTTAATACCATTTGTTAAAACGTTGTTGTTTCTTTTGATGTGAAATATTATGTATTTAATTTAAATAAAAAGCAATGTTAGTTTTGTTCACAATTTGTTTATTTTCATTTGTCATTTAATAGTTTATTTGAATAGGGACAATGCACATTAATGAACACTTTAGACAAATAATGCTTCAAGTGTAAATATGCCGGATTTTAGCTTTGAGCTAATTTCCATTCGTAGTCCCTGACATACAACATATAGTTCGTTTACCTCATTTTTCTCTCCAAAAGAACCGATAAGAGTACCGTTAAAAGACCGGACCGATAAGCGGTATCGATAAAAGTAGTAGTACCGTTAAAACCTTAACGATACCCATCCCTAGTCATATGTGTCAACTCATTGTGCCTTATGTTTCAATTCTTTTTAATAAGGGCCAAGAGATGGAGATAGACAGCGTGTTGTTTAAGATTTCAGCTTTGGTCAGCCTCCTTTCTTCATTGGAGAAAAAGGTATGTTTGAAATTGCACAAAGCTATATTTTTGATGATCACAGGATTCATGGATGATAATGCGGTGATGTCTACCAACACTATGGCTCACATCTTTTAACGTTTAGTGGCAGTGGTTATTAAATGGTGATGTTTTCTTAGTGAGAGATAAAAAAAAATAACTCTTGGTTGTGATGGACAACACGTTAGATTGTAATACTGCCAATTATTTGCTCATAAAGGTACTGAAAGCATTACAAGATGCAGTGACCAATCACAATCTGGCAGTGCAGCCGAGCCCGCCCCCTCCTGAACCGACACCCATCATCGTAACCTCCGTCAAGAACCAGGCCAGACAGCTGCCAGTCCACTCCTTTCAGGTAAATCAGCCTGAAAAAGTAACAGTTTATATTTTTATCAAATATGACATGTATTAACACAAATTATTCAACTGACCAGTGCTGCAATGATTTGTCAAAACAATGTATTAGTAAAATAATTGGCAATTACACTGATAACTGATTAATTGTGTTAAAGTATGTCAAAAAAGGCAGAACATTCTGTTTGCAGCTTCTCAAAACCAAATATTTTTCCGCTTTTGTGTTTTAAAGCATATTGAAGGGAATATATTTGGGTTTTGGACTGATAAAACGAAAGCACTTAAAGATATCACCTTGGACATTTTAAACTTTTTCTGACATTTTAGAGATGAAACGATTAATATTTCGAGAAATTAATCAATAATACAAATAATACTTACTTGCAGCGATACCTCTAACCATGTAAATGTAAACTGTTTTTTTTCTTTCTTGGTGCGTCCAGGTGAAGATGGTGAGGTATGGCAGACAGACGGTTTCTGTGGACGTGGACACAGGAGTGCTGCTCTTTGACAGAAAGGCTGGTTCATTTGGTATAGAGAGAGTCTCACATGACAGAAGTAAGAAAATATCCTCTTTAGCTCCTGTAACATTTCTCTATTGTGCAGATATATCGTCTAATTTCCTGCTGGCATTATTCTTGTGTACCAGTCTTTCAGATTGTCAAGTTCCAAAGCAGTCCGGCCAAGGTACGCATGGTGGTGGACAGCCACCACAACACACCACGGGAGATGACGTTTGAGAGTGCACGGGTAAGGAAAGTAGTAATTTTGCCTGGAATATTTGGCTTTATTGACTGGAATCCCCTGTCTTTTTCCCATAATTGACCGTGTGGCTTTCCTTTCATTCAGAAACGCGACGCCTTCTGCCAACTCCTGCAGCTGATGAAAACCAGACACTCTCATCTGAGTGAACCTGATGTGATCTCTGTGTTCGTTGGCACCTGGAACATGGGTAACGACAGATGTTGTCTAATTTACTGTCAGGCAACACGGGTTGAATTTAGAGGGAGACGTTTAATGTATTTCCAATAGTAATTGTATTATGTTTTGTACACAGGTGGTTCCCCTCCTCCTCGCAGCCTGCAGTCGTGGGTGACCTGCTGCGGTTTGGGACACACCCCCGACGCCTCCACTGCCTTGCTCCCTCATGACATCTACGCCTTGGGGACTCAGGAAAACCCTCAGGGGGAGAGAGAATGGACTGAACATGTCAAAACAACTCTTCGCAGCTATACTCACATCGACTACAAACAAGTACATATTTTTTCCCCAACTTTTTTCAACTTCAAATCGGAATTCTTTTAGCAAAAAAGGTTCTCTTTGCCCAATACATCTTTGGAGTGCTTTTATCCATAAAGCTACCATAATTTCACAGAAGAAAGATTCACAATATTACTTGGATTGAATAGTTAAAGGAAACACATCAATGGATGTTTCATGGTCACCGGAAGTACGACTGCATAAAGGAAAATGTATAAAGCATTTTGTGGCGCAGTGTGAAGTCTGGTAAACTTAATGAGATTTCACGATCCAATTGTTTATTTTTTAATTTTTGTATTCTTCATTGTGAGTCCTACAGTTGCCTTTTGAAGCAACTAGAGCAAAGGTTTACTGGTACGATACATTATTCATTTATTTTCAAAATAAGATTTACATCACTGGGGATCATCTAGTCAAAGTCAAGTCAAAGTCAACTTTATTGTCAATCTAAAATACAGTTTGTGTGTACAGACAGAGATCGAAATATCGTTTCCCACAATCCGGAGGAATACAAAATACAAATTTATATAAAAATATGTATATGCATATGTATATACCCAATCAACAGACGTTACTAATGTAATTCATTTTGGAATTAATTTTAGTTTATGCAAAAATAATATATTGAATAAAATATGCCCATCCTGAAAACATCCCAAAGTGAAGCCAAACCCACTAATATACTTTAACTAAATAGATTTGACACATTTCTTCAAACTAAGATGCATTTTTTTTAAATAACTAATGCAGCTATTTTACTCTTAAAATAAAAAATGTTTTCAAAAATTATTTATGGTTTCTCCTCAAACTAAAAACGGTAAATCATGGGGCTAAGATTTTCTAACAATATTTATTCTCATTAGTGCAATCTGTTGGACGAGCTAGCTTTCTTCAATATAAACTGCCGCATTAAGTTTTAAATACATTCTGCAATGGTGGGGTCAATCCTGGTATTTTAGTGTGAGATTGCTATTATGTTGACCTTATGTGAATCAGTGCTTAATTCATTCTAGTTTTGTACATGTGAAAAGATGAAAACACATTCTCCCAGCCTTTCAAAAGGAATCCAGCCCCACGATTAACCTTGAAATATTACATCTGATAGACAATTTTGCGCATTAAGCGTGAAGCACATTGTTCACTTAAAATGAAATGTTTTTGCAACATCTGAAACTAAAGGAAAGGATTGTGAGCGGTTTTGATATTTTGTTGTAAGTATTCTTGGAAAATATCACCTCAATGACAGATTTTATATGGTGGTATTTTTTTTAATTACAAATATGTAATAAATATGTTTCACTGGCAGTGTCTACTGGATTTGGAGGCTGACTTTATAGAAATTGATCCCATCCTTTGAGAAATCAGTAATTATGTTTTATTTCACTGGTTGGAAACGATTCCTGTCCTTCATTGTAATGTGGAGCATTGTCCTGTAGGTGGCAGTACAGTCCCTCTGGAACATGAGGCTGGCTGTGTTTGTGAAGCCGGAGCACGAGAGTCGCATCAGCCATGTGAACACGGCCAGTGTGAAGACTGGCCTGGGAAACACTTTGGGTAAACTGCCCTGCATGATCTCACAAGTACAAATACACAGAGCAAACACAGAAAATGTACAGTATCAGTGGTGCCAGCCAGGAATACAAGTGCATGATTAACAGAATAAAATTGATATTAACCTGGAGGTTCCGGTTGCGAGTGGCAGCCAGTTACAGCAGCTCTTACTCACACTGAGTAGTTTTCCTTATATTTAGTTATTTGTTATACATTACATTATATACATAAGCCATTAATAACTGTGTAATATATACCTGGCTGCTAAATTCTAAGAACTGTTACAGGATTTGTATTTTGGAAAGTATTTTTTCTTTTACTTTTATTTTTTCTATTATATTTTTTCTATTATATCATAACTTAGTACTTTTTTCTTAACATGGGTAACATTAAGCTGTCTGTGGCTCTTTCCTGCTGTAACGATGCAAATTTCCCCTCTGTGGGACTAATAAAGGTATTCTGATTCTGATTCTGATTCTGATGTTGAATGTCTCTGTTGTTTCAGGAAACAAGGGAGCAGTCGGTGTGTCTTTCCTCTTTAACGGGACATCTTTTGGGTTTGTTAACTGCCACCTGACCTCTGGCAGTGAGAAAGTCCTAAGGTATTGTGAACAAACATTAATGTGTGTGGTCCCGTTTCATTTCTTTGTATTACATAAAATATTACAATTGTCTCTTATGATGTGTGTCCTGTTCAGGAGGAACCAGAACTTTGTGGACATTCTCAGGCTGCTCTCTCTGGGGGACAAACAGCTCGGGGCCTTTGACCTCAGCCTGCACTTCTCCCATCTCTTCTGGTGCGGAGACCTCAACTACAGACTCGACTTGGACGTACAGGTCTGTTTTTATTTCTTTGTTATTCATCGCTCTATTTTAATTGTTTTGATTTAGCACCCTTGAAGACTGACTTAATGGCAGTGTTTGAAGAAGTACTCAGATCTTTAGGCAATACTATAAATAAGTGAGGCAACCTAAAATGTCATCTGTAAATATATAGTTTTATGGTGCATTACATTCTCTGCCATTAACATAATAAAACTGAATGTATCCATCTAACTAGCTTTCCATTGTGGATAGGTGACACAAAGTGATTTTGCATAAATAAGCTAGTTTAAGGGATTCCACACAACACATGGGCAACAGTAAGCCTATTATCAATGTTGTGTCAATTTAATTTGAGCAAAGATGTCGATTTACCTTTGCTAGATTGCATAATATGTTGAATTTATGTAAATGTTATGTGTTTTTAAAACATTATCAAACCATAATTTGGCAGCACCCCTGCAGTAACTCAGAGGAACCTTTGTCACAGATCCTCTTTTGGAGATCACTGACTTGAATTGTCAATAATAAGTAGTCATTATGCACAATGCCCCACTTTAGTGTAAGGTGTATTATATAAATTATAATAATATAAAATCCCTGTATTTTCCTATGGGCAGCTTGTGATTCTGCCAATAAAGTCTTATCTTAACCTATGATCATCTTTACAATTGATTTGTTGACTGTATTTTATACTATAAATGTGAATCTCCAAAGTAACTAATGATATCAAATAAATGTAGTGGTGTAAAAAGTAGGATATTTCCCTTTGAAATGTAGTGAAGTATAAATAAACATAACATGGAAATATTCACGTAAGGTAAAAAATACTTTAAAATTGTGCTTAATCTAGGAACAGTACTTGGGTAAATGTACTTAGGTACTTTCCACCAATGCTTAAGGGTACACAGGCATGATATGTCACTTAAAAAATCCCCAGACATTAATGTAACTGCTTCTTTCTGTTCCTCACTTTAGGACATCCTGAAACATGTTTCTAAGAGGGAGTTTGAGGATCTCATGTGTGCAGACCAGCTGACCCGAGAGAGACACAAGAGGAAGTCCTTTCTCAATTTCAGTGAGTTTTTCCCTTTGCAATTTGCCATTGTTCTTTATTAAAATATATAATGCTCTTTAAAGCTATTTGCAATTCCATAATCAATCATAAGTTAATAAGTGCCATTTTTGTTATCGGCTCTACTTTGGCTTAGCTGACTTTGTTCTCTATCCCTGTTTATCGTGGTTAAGAGGAAGAGAAGATTGCGTTCCCACCCACCTACCGGTATGAGCGGGGCTCCAGAGACTGCTACCTTTGGCAAAAGTACAAAACCTCAGGAGTGAGTCATTTTCTTTTAACACAAATGCAGCACAGAGAAACAGGATGACATGTCCATCAAAAATTATTTAAGCTTCAGGAAAGAGAACGGACGCCTATAATAAAAGCTGCATCCGCACCTCTGAGTAGTCGACGAAAAATGTCTGGACACACAAGCCATAAACTATTCAAGGATTTTAGATTTGAAGCCATTTGTTAGTCTGTCTTTTTGGTCCTGACTGATATTTCTTAACAACTTTTTACCTGTTTATAATAAGTTCCTGATGAAGAACAACTCATGAGTTTTCAAATGTTTGAATGTTTCTTTTATCAATTTAAAACATAATTATTTTGTGTGTCTATTGTTTTATAAAGGACGGTAAGTGTGTCAATACAATGGCAGCACAATGTCTTTAACATAATAGCGTGATAAGCTAATATCCAGTTAAAACAAAGCACAAGGATTTTAGACTGTGACGCTAAATATGCAATTTATTCTGTACCAGCAAAGAACAACTAATGTTTAAATTCTACTATTAGTAAACAGTTGACTCAAGATATTTGTATGTGTAACTTGATCCAATTTAAGGGATCTGTAGAGAGAGGTGACTGACAGCAGCTGCCATGATCCCTAAAAATAGCTGTAGTCAAAAAAAGATACGTCTGACATAACAGGAATGAAAGCACCATTCCTTGCATACCATTTCTACATCTGGCAATTTTATTTGTTGTACAATACATTGTTGTTTTATAGCTGAATTTGTTCCTGTAGGTACGAGTCAATGTGCCATCGTGGTGTGATCGGATTCTGTGGAAGTCTTACCCAGAGACACACATCTTCTGCACAGCGTATGGTAAGACCTGGAGAATGGGACAAAACAAGCTCAGATAAGCTTTAGTAGAAAAGTAAATAGTTAAAGGGCACCTATCATGCAAAATGCACTTTTGTACGTCTTTTATACATGAATATGTGTCCCCGGTGTTCCAGGGAACTCACCAAGTGTCAGAAAACACAACCCTCTCTATTTTCCTCCATACCCAAATCTCTAAAAAAGGGGCTGCAACGGATCTGATAAAAACTGATCCAGATTTGAACACTTCTATGTCGTCACAGAAGTGGCGCTACGGCTATTGGGCCAACTCTCCACCTATCAGGGGAATATGGGGTTGGGCCACGCCCGGCCATTGCCGCTCGAAAGCGCTGGAGATGCTGTAGTACATATGCCAGGCCTGTAAGTGGCGCTGTAGTCTGCCACAAAAGCAGCGAAGAAGACTTCCCGCCCATAGTTACCATGGTTACCCTTCTGTTTATTCTCCGCTGTGGCTTTTTTTCTCCCTCCCCGAGGCAAGCGTTTGCTCCCGCGGCTTTAATTCAATGCAATCCCTCCCCGTCGAGGCAAGCACTGTAATTCTCTCCGGTTAGTCCACCAGCAAATGACAAACACCCACCTCTCCGCCTCTTCCAAGGAACGAGGGGACCGTGCGGCAGAGTTTCAGTTTCAGTTACTTTCGCCGGTCAAGATGTCCGTTAAAGTTTAAATCTTCCGGACAAAATTAGAAAAGTGCCGGTCAAAGGTCTTCTTTGTTATTTATTGAGCTTTAAAACAAATGAATAACGACTCTATATAATAAAACACGGAGGACGGAGATCTCTTTTTCTCCCCCTCTTCTGACAGCCCAGCAGCTGATCAGAGCACGGCTCACCTCTCCTGCAGGGGGGCGTGGTCAGCAGAATCAGACCCGTAGACAGCAAACAGCACATAGAGCGAAATGAGGCATGGCTAAAATGCATGATCTGTTTGGTATTTTGAAAACAGAAACGTATAAATATACCTTATATAGGTATGGCCCTACAATATATCATTTAAATATAGCATGATAGGTCCACTTTAAGTCATGCATAACCTAAGAGCATCAGATATCAGTGCACAGGTCTAGACATAGCTAAATATTTTGATGCAGCACTCTGGAATTAGATATCTGTGGTAATTCTTTATTTGTACCACTGAAAATTGAGAGCAACCCTAAAAGAACAACGGTCAAACCCTACATCCTGGTCTGTGGTCCATAGAGGAACACAGTCATTTCCTCTCATTCTGCCCGAGCTTCTGTCTCCAACCTCAGAAAACTATGAAAACGTTCAAACTCCTGCATAGTAGCAAAAGTACTTTATGTATCCCCATTTGTCACATTTTGTGAAAAACAGGATGGCTGACAGCTCATCTGCCTTACAGTGCTTTGCAATTTGTAGGATTTTATTTACAGATGCGACTATATAGAATTGTATCACGAGCACAATAGTGCTTAAAATACATTTTCATTTTCAGGATAATCTTTAACACCCTTACATTAGTGACTTGAAAATGCTGTCTATCTCGCTAACTTATGATTTATTATTATCACATTTGGTTGGATTGTTTGTTTTTCAACTAAAAAGGATTTTGCCCCAAAGTGTCAAATCTGTGAGGAATTAATAATACTCAGGATTAGGAATCACAATTATTTGGCTTATCTATTTACGACATGTGCATTTTTATATCCTCTCATGCTTAGCTATAATCCATATCAGATATTGAGTGTTTTGATTACAATTCTCATAATAAAGTTCTATTTGTGTCCCACCAGGTTGCACGGATGACATCTTCACCAGCGATCACTCTCCTGTTTTTGCCACGTTCCAAGTGGGAGTCACATCACAGTTCAGCTCCAAAACAGGTGCTGTCATTGTTGTTGCCTTTTGGACACAAACAGAGAGAATATGATTCAACCCCTTCATCAAGTGAACAGTGTTGTTCTGCCTTTGTCTCGCACAGAAACAAAGTCAGGCGTGGAGAGGGCCTGGATAGAGCTTGAAGGCATCGAGGCCATTGTGAAGACGGCAAGCAAGGCCAAATTCTTCATTGATTTTCATTCTCCTTGCATCGAAGGTATGGTTCCAATGGTTTTTTTAAAATAGAAAAGCCATTATGCATCACAGTGGCAAAGATTCCTTCCTGTCTTCTTCGCAGAGACACGGCGATCAAGTGAGAATGACTCACAGAGCTGTGATGTTCCCAGATTTCTCAAACTGGGCTGGTCCTTCAAACAACTGCCAAAGGTTAGAGACTCATTTGGAAACGGCTTAAAATATTTGTTTGTTTTTTAAATCAATGTCTTACCTTGATGTTTTTATGTCTGTCATAGCTTTTTCCAATCAAGTCTGACATGGAGTATCTTCAGGACCAGCACCTGCTGTTGTCTGTCAAGTCATGTGACGGATTTGAGTCATACGGTTGGTCACGGCAAATTCATTTTGTTTAATAATTACTCATAACATGAAATTGTCTTATTTTACCACTCTTATCACAAGTGCTATCTATTATTCTAGATATTTTAATTAGATTTTGATACATTTGGCTAATTTAATTTAAACTTGACGTCCAAAACGTTGTATTGAATATCTTTCAAAATGGCACATTGATTTGTTAAAGGTGTAATTCACTTTTTCTACCGAGAGTTTTTTCATCTATACGAGAAGCAGGAAATGTTCAGATGTGGATGGAATACTGTATTTTGAGGCACTACGTGTTATATATAAAGATATGATTTAGTGCTCCAAACCAAATTTGATTGACCTTCAATGTAGTTTAACAACAGTCAGTCAAGGTCTAAGAAAATCTCGCTCAACCATCTAGAAGAATAGATTGCACTCTACATTTTGTTTTAGTGTGAAATGTCATATTGATCTTGTAAATAATCTATAAATGTTGTTTTATAGGGGAATGCTGTGTGGCTCTGCGCTCACTCACCGGTGCATCTGAGCAGTTCGAGACCTTTCTGAGTCACCGAGGTGAGGAGATGGGTTCGATAAGAGGACGCGTCAGGGTTCATGTGCCCAAGGAGAGACGGGGAACACGGGAGAAGACCTATGGTGCGTCAGCCTGAACCTCTCCTACCCTCTGCCATGCTTGCACTATCACTTCCCACTAAACTTTCATCTGCACTGTCCCTGACTTCTTTGACTCCCCCGTGAGTCTCCCATTGCTTCCTCTATTTGGTTTCCTAATAACCCCTGGCCTGACTTTATCATTGCTGGTCTATCGAACGCTTCCTCTTTTGGCTCCTGATTGACTGACCCTGAGCAGATGCATCCTGAGATAGTGAGACAGGGCAGGTTGAAAGTATGTCACCAGGTCAGACCCTCCAACAAACATCACCATGCTGTGTGATTGGCAACTGGCATGGCCTTGCCCGACTTTAAGGAAGTGTGGCTGATTATGAAATGTGTTTATTTCCTCTGATTTGACTTTTTTCAGAGTGGTTCTCCTTTGAGAAAAATGACAAAGGTCTTGCCAGAGGACACATGTCTCCTGCATCTACACATGTCCCAATAAACAGGTGAGCATCTCTTAATGTTTCTGAGCATCAGGGTAAGACAGCAGAACGCTTCTCAAGGAAAAGTTCTCCCAAGTTTTTTTTTTAAACTTCCCACAACTTACATACCCTTGAGTACCCTAGACCTTCTGGAGCAATGCGGTGTTTAGAATCTTCCCCAAGGAGACTTTGACATGTTGATTGCAAGGGCTTGGGATCAAACCACTGACCTCCTGGTAGGCACCCACTTACCCTTCCCCTCCCCAAGCCACAGCCACCACTATCAGTGTTAAATGGCACTGACCCAAGCTGAGTGAGTTTAGACTTACTTTTTAAAGAATCCTCAGAAACATGTTCCTAAATCCTATGAATATAGTTACAATATATATTTCCAAAACTATACCACAAACTTTTAATGGTTTTTCAAGTTAACATTGTTTTTTTTTACGCTGGTGTGTAGTGTTAAAATCATGGCCGTATGACTCAAGCTGGACTCTTTGATTGTATTTCATCTTCCATCTGTAACTCAAGCCACATGCCCAAATCCATTTTTTATCACAGTGACACTTTTGATATGATCACTACAGAGAAGAAAACAAAATAATGCAAAGACATTCATTGAGAATAGAGGACACATTTAGTACAAAAACACTCAATCGTGAAACATTCTAAAAGTATACATTTTCATTGCAGGTCTTTGGCAGTTCCTCCTAAACTCACTGCAAGCAGCTACACCAACCCAGCCTACTTCATCTTTGAAGGTGTGTCAGTGACACGCAGGGTGGAGGAGGCTCTCCCTCAGCTGAGGGACCCTCAGGTCATCTGGTCTGGAAATGAGGCCTTGCAGCTCCCAAAAATCTCAGGACGTCAGGGCTTCGACAGAAGACCCTGTCGCAGATCAGACTTTACAGAGATTGAAATTCCAGCCATCCCACCCCAGTACACTCCAACCACTGACCATCATACACCCCAAACCAACTCCTCCTATCAGCTCTTCCCAGCCAAGAGCCCATCTCCCATGCCTCCACCCTCAGGCAACACCATGTCACAGTACCAGGAACAGACCTCACAACCCAGAGACAAATACCAATGTAAGAAAAACGTTCAAGACTCCGTACTGCCAGACAAGAACCTGAGGAACTTGTATATGAACCAATCGGCAATCATCAGGGAAAAAACCAGAAGGGATCATCATCAGCTTCTCCCAGAGAGAACCAGTCCTATCCGGGCCTCCAAGGTGCCGTCAGCGTTCCCCTACACCCCCCCTGCCTCAGCACACTCTCAGGCCTCTGTGCCCTGGATAGTGGATCAGCAGCCGCCTGGACCTTCAGGAGACAACTCGCTCACTGCTCTGCAGATGGCCAAGTCCCTCAGCGAAGTTGACTTCTTCCCCCCTATGCAGAGAGGCCCATCTATACTCAACCATAGGCCAAAGTATAGGAATGGACCTTCTATGCATGGAGATAGAGGCTACAGCTGGGAGAAAGAAGTAGGTCACTATTCTCTAAGACAGTTTTTTTAAAAGACGTGGCTTGTTCTCTGTAAAACTTCTGTCTACTTTTTCCACGCAGGTCTCGGTCCTCCAATGTGCACCAGAAACCGTGCGGGAGCTTCTCAGCGCTCTGGGTCTCCAGAAATACACCCTGGGACTTAGCCTCAATGGCTGGGATGATCTGGATTACTTCAGGTAAAATTGTTTCTGATAACATGTTTCCCAAGCTGTACTTAAGTAGGCTATTTACTGCATTTCACCTTCAGACACAAATATTGTGGCTTCCTGTGACTACTCAGAGCAAGATATATTTGTCCGTACAGATAACCTCAGTGGTAATGAGACACTTGCAATAGTCACTTGTAGGCCTAGTCAAATTATCAGCGTGCATGTGACAGTCATGCTCATTTTAAGTAAGATGACTGAACATGTCAGGATGACTTAACATGTGGGTTAGAGCCTAACTGAGGCACAAATGTGGAAATAAATCTGGTCGTGATTACAGGAACCTTACGAACTAAGTAATTAACTATTGAAGTTTCAGTCAGGTTTGATTTTGTGCCATTTTTCCTCCCTGCAGTGGTATCACTGAGGAGGATTTACGCGCCGCAGGAGTGACAAACCCTTCACATCGGCGCAGGATCCTCGACAACCTGCCCAGAAACTGGAACTGAAATACACATAAGAAATACTGCTGGTACGAAACCTCGTAGTCCGCTCATTTAGAAACTGGAATGACTGTTATAACCAAGATCTTAAAGGACAGAAAGACTGATCAAAAATCAATCACATCGGCTGGACTTTACCACACTGCTGTGGCCTTTTTATTTACTGGATTAATACTGTAACCTTAGTTTGTCAATACAGTAAAGGGAACATGACGCAGAAAGTACTCATTGCACAGTTGGCTTATAGCCATCTATCCATATTGACACATAAAGAAAGCTGTGGGTGGTATGACAGGAAGCGTTGACACGTATCTCGAGTTACTCACACATAAACCAATATTGATCATGGCATTGATTTAATGTGTAATGTATTTTCAATGACTATAAAAATATAGTCAGTCAATTTTCAGTGTTCACTCAAGGCTAGTGTTTACCATTCACCTTCATCCCTTTTACTGTGTGCTTTACTTTACTCTGCTATTATTGAGCCTGGATCCTGCCTTCTAAAAGCCCTCTATTAAACCTATGGAGCATAACATCAATATCTGTACATATCTACTGGAACATTGTCTGTAAAGTTTGTTTACTGTGTCCTACTGTTGCTATCATGTCACTTAATCGGTACCAATGTCCACTGTGCATGTTTTGTGCACCCCTTTTTTTTTTAAAGTAAAGTGTATAAAGCAACTCTTGGCTGTCACTAAGCAATCACAAGTTTTATTTCATGCTGTCAGGGGCTGGAAACAGAGAAACAATTCAAATATGTTCCAATTCATTGCACTAATGCTGCTTATACTATGTTGTTTAATGTCACCTAGCTCTATGGCGAAGCCTATTTAATGGTTTTGTTTTACAATAAAAGCCATGCAATTACCAATATACTTTTCTACTAGCTAGGTTCACCCACATTTTTAACAATTAACAGCAAGTGTTTTTTAGGTTATAGTTCGAAAATGCCTATAAAATGAAGTTAAAGGAGAGGTGTCATGGCCATTTCCACTGATCATAATTCCATTGTTGAGGTATACTAAAATAGATTTATACTGTGCATTTTTCCAAACTCACATTGGTTTCGCATACAGCATCTGTGTAAAGTGTGTGTATTCAGCAGTATTCACTCTCTCCACTAAACGGCTCGTTGGAGCTCCAATAGCTCCAGCCCCCACCCTCCCTGTGAGCCCAGTGTGCTCTGATTGGTCGGGACGTTGTGAATCGCGCTGAGCTCCGTGGAGGTGTGGTTTCCTTGTTTATATATAGCGATACACAGCGAAACACAGCCAAACTCATCCTGAGCACTCACAACCGAAGTAAAAAGACTGAATTACTGACCATGATATGCCAGTGTAAATATAAGACTACAGTTATGACTGAGGGTGACTAAGATAACGGCCAAATCCATGAACAAACATATGAAAGTTGTATTTGTCAGCTCAGGTAAATATAGACCACAGCAGAAAGAGATGATACAACCTTGATCTGGCCCTAAAATACCTCCTACTGTACGTATTGTATTCCACTCAGTGTGTGAGTGTCTGTGTTTTTGCTTGTAGTCCTCAGTTGAGGTAGTTACTCATTAGGGCATGACCAAACACATCCCTCTGTGTTCTGGCAGCAGGTATGAGGTTTACTGACTACTGATGTTATCACCCAGGACTTTTCAGTAACGTACAAATCAAAGAAAATGGGTGAAACTTCATGATTTGTTGTTTTTAAATGTACATGTTTGGATCAGACAGTTTGGATTGAGACGGATTGTCGGATTGAGACGGATTGTCTGATTGTATGTATTTGTTAATTTAAAGACACGAAAAGAGAAACATTGACATTTGCAGAACCAGTTTTGGCTGTACTGTACACACTCATTTAGCTAGAGGCAGAGCTAACTTCCCAAACGAGTCCCTAGAAAGATGTTTGTAATATAAGAAATGATTTAGTGCAAAAACAAGCATCCATGACAACACACACACACAAACAAGGACACAAAATGTTTAAATCATTGACTAAAGTACACAAATAATGACCAGTTGGTGTCATGATTACTGTTTACTTTTTCAGTTTTTTACCAGTGCTTGACTGTAGGATTTGTATAAATCCTGAGTGTGCTCTGAGCTGACAGGCAGGGAATTCCAGAGGCTTGTGCATTTGGTCCATTATTAAACAGCAGCATGCTTTAGTAAATGATTATTGAGCTTGAGATTATTTTCCAGACCTCAAAATAGTCTTCGTCATATAATTATCAAACATAAAGTAAAATTACACATCCTTCTTACTCCAGTCCAAAAGCATAGATTAACATGTACATATGTATCTATTCAAAATGGTAAAAATGCAATTCTTATGATCTGTGCACTTGGTGATTTCAAAGTCCCACAGCACCCTTTTCGGTGTTACCTAAAGGACCAAACAAACTAGTTTTCAAATCACACATCATTCTGCAAAATGGAGGTCAAACATCCTAGTAAGGTAATAATGTGCTCATTCTGGGGAGGCAGGGGACAGAAGGACAAATCAGGGATTAAGAAAAACAAGTTAATATCAACAATTTAATTAACAATCCGATTAAAGTAGTTGTGACTGTTTGTGTACATATTTTAGTCTGTGAGGGTCTGCAAATGTGCTTTGAGCGGGTTACAGATGAAGAACAGGCTTTGTCCGTTGCCCACTCACATTCCTAACAACTCAACCACAGAAACCCAAACAGTACATGGACACGGCACAGAAACTTACCACTAAGACCCCCCCCCCCCCTACATATACACATATGTTCTTGCATGTAGCAAGAACATATGTGAACCCTTTACCCTTGAACAGGGTAAATGATTTAAAGTATTTTAGATATGGTATTTAGCCTCCACATTTGAGTCCTATAGGTCATTATAAAATGCCTTTGCACATGAACAGAGTCATATTTTACATTTCTTTGTCTAACTGAATGTAGACCATAAACGGGTAATTACATCCTTATAGTCTCTGGGTCATTGGAGTGTTTATAGGAACTTGTATGCAACTTTATCTTTCTTTTTTATCTGTCACACCATCATTGCTCATCCTTACTTTTATTCCTTTATGACCAGGCTTTATAAATCCACGCCTTATCACGTGAATCTTACAGAAAAGCCTGAGAAGACAAAGTATACTGGAGAGATGATTCAGTAGATCCCTAAAAGCTCCATAGAGCAAATGTTGCTTTTTTTTATTACAGCTGTACTGTACAGCTGTGCAAAGAATAACTTCTATAGCATGGCAGCATTGAGGGCCATTAAGTGTTGTCATGGGAATAAGGAGGTGTCAACTGACTGAGGCTGTCCAAGGGGCAGGGGCGGGACTAAAAGGGCACCACATGCCTATGATTGGCCATCTCGTTTTCTCTGTTAAAGGGCACTAATGTTCTCTCTCTCTAGTCCACCAGTGGGAATCACACTCATAACGGAGAAAGACGTTTTCACATATTGTACTTAAGTTAAAGTAGCAATATCACAATGGAGTTATGCATTCAGTGCTCCATAGTAGAGGGCTGGTTCCTCGTGTCTTAGCCTATATTGAGTCTAGTTTATACTTCGTTTGGCTGGATTATTCCATAGTGTTGCATTATGCCATGAACCCAAAAGTTTAAAATATAATAGTATTAAAAGGGATAATATTTACCTGAACTGTTGTGAAATTACCTTTGAATTGCAACACACATTTTAATCCAGAATGAGGACATTTAAGTCGTTTTTAGAAGAACGCAAGGATCAGCTACAAGTAACCAAACGCCTCAGGTAAAATAAGGGAGTTGTGTTGATGAGTAAATCCTATACCAGTTATACGAGGTGCACCAAATTGAAAGGTCATTTACACACTTATGAAGGTAGATATGGTGCAAAATGCGAGAGCGTGTAAAACCTGATGTGAGCACTTGCAGAAAATAAATCTGAGCTTGTGTGCATACATTTACACTTGTATAAAATATCCATGTATCTGTGAACCACATTTGAAGTCACAGAAGAAAAAAAAAAGTTTTGTTGCTTGTAGAAAAAAAATGAATTTAGTGATGAAATGTTCACTTGCAGAAAAATATTTTTTTTTTAAATATATTTTCCATTACAACTGCAACTTGGTTATTACAACCTCTCAAATCAGTCATTACAACTTCACGAATCTGCTCTGTGGGCTGTGGCAGTATAAATCGACAAATCTGCGGCCTTGACTTTTGCTACACTTCTTGCGATGAATGTGTCGCAAAAGTAATTTTCACCTGTAGATGTGGGGGGAGGGAGGGGGGTTGGAGCGAAGGGGCGGAGCTATCACAACGACGAGGCTCGGGTCAGTCACACAGTCACAGCAGTCAGGTCGAACCAGATGATTGCGGGGCTGGTCCATGTCGCTACCAGTCCGCTGACATGGCGCGTCAACCAACGGTAAGTTTTGCCCATTACTACTTTGAATATTATTATTGTGATTGAGGATTAAATCTGTTATGAAGACCACCGTTTTATATCGTGCAGTTTAGCGGCAAAATAACGTCAGTTAGCCAGCTAATGCTAGCTTTGTTGAATTTATGCTAGCTAAACAAGTAGTGGTCGTACTGTAGTCTATACAGCAGTAATTAATATATTATAGCCTACTGCTTTGGCACTAACGGTTGATAACCGTTTATGAAAATAAAACCAATTGAACTGTACTGAAATAATGACAAGTTTTATAATTGTCTTGGGCTCCTGATGTGTTTTTAAAGCCTTTGTAAATTATCCATGCTATTTTCTATTTAGAACGAAGACTTCAGAATCTTAAAATCCCTTGACGTTTGTATGCAATTGTGCTAAATTCAACACTGGAATCAAGCAAATATGAATATGTTTGCATGACATTAGTTATTTATATTTTGCCATCAATTAATTATACGTTTAATACATTTAAGTCAAGCTAAGGTACATGTGATGGTAGCTAGTTAGTGCTCTTACCTGTGATGCCTCCTCCAAACAGCATAATAACCAGACTGTACCATTACAACTCTAAGTACCAGTTCTAGATCCTTGACTTTAGACAAACAATTCAAAAGACAAAATGTATTTAAAGACCAATCTTTATTTGAAGGTGCCTCTTAACCTGGGATATTAGTTATACAGTAATAATATTGACAATCTAAAAAAAAACGGAGCAACTCAACGGTTCACTTTTATATTTCTTATTGTCTAAAGCATTTATTATTTTCATTTTCCCCCTCTCATATTCAGTGTGGACGGATTGAGACAGCGTGGTGTCCAGAGAGCTGCAGAGACTTCAGGGAGAAACCTCCGTGTGATGGACGTCCTGTCTGTTGGTTTGGCCGGAGAGGACTGAGGGTCTTTCCTCAGCGAGGAGGACCAGGCCATGCTGGACATAGCTAATACCAACTGCACAGGCCTAGTCTGTCACTTTATTTGACTAAATGTGTTTACTTATACATTTAATAGGTTTACACCTTCTGTCCATATGTGCTTTTTATTTAAAACATTTTTGATGAACTTTTGGTTCACATTTCAATAAATTGTATTTGTATTTGCACTCCTTTTGTCCATTATTCTTACTGAAAATGTTAGATTACACATTCACATCTGACTGAAGATTGGCCCCATTTATTTGTGACGTTGCAAACTCTGCGGTACAAGGTGTTGTGAAGCTCATGAAGTGAGGGCAAATAGAAATAATCAGCTGATGGAGTGTAGATGTGGAAATAGGTGCATCCGATCAGCTGACTTTGTTTTCACAATAAAAGTAGTTTCTTAGTGAATGTCCTGTACTGAGGCCTGTACTACGAAGCCGGATTTTCGCTTAGCTGGCTAACTTCAGGGAAAACTCGGGCTTTCCGGTCCTACGACGCTGGTTCTCTTTTTAGCGGGCTAGATCTCCATGGTAACTTATGCTGAGCGGCTAACCTCCTCGGGAGGAGGTTATGGTTGTAGGCTAAGAGATCAACTCAGTGAAAGCACCGCCTGCTGACCAATCAGAGCTCCGTGTGCGGAGTTTAAAGCTATCAAGTCATATTACAGGATAGAGGAAATACAGAAAAACTGCCGTTGCAGGAAAGACGGCCAGCAAAAATCAACTGACTGTGAACGTGAAAATTAATAGAATATCCCCTACCATCTTCAGAGCAATCTGACTATTATAACATTAGCGTTAAGAAAGCTTACTTAAATATCTGCCACAACATAAGTAACCGGATCAGAGTAACATTAAGTACAGTCCGCGGCACTGTGAGTGCAGACGTCGATGTGTCCCATTATCATTCATATCATATCACATCATAATGTATCATATATTTCCTTATTTGAGTCAGCTTCTTGAGCCGTATCTGGCCGTGCAACACTCACAGTGTCACATACTGTATGCAGAAGTATTATTTTAAGCAACACATTAAGTTGACGAAACACTCGAGTCAAATGTAATTAAAGTCAGATCCACTCGTGTCTTAGACGGGGCAGTGATATCATAAACCTGTTAATGTATGCATTCAAACACTTTTTCTTTTACCAGCTGTATTAACCTTGTAGGTGCAGCTATGTGGCTTTTATCCTGGATAAAGTGTTTAAGTCATGGATGTTTAAAGTTTAACTTCTTCATATTTGACTAATATTAAAGTTCACTTTTCATTCAGGAAGTATGACGCTGCGCTGTCAGTACGCTTGTCCGTGTTTGAGATTGGTCGAATGCTCCAAATACCACCCCTTTCATGTGAACGCGCACCTAACTAGATAGGACACGGCTGGCTTGAGCGATCCACTTGATAACCAGCGTCGTAGTACAGCTTAGCGAGAGCGCGTATGTTTTGGATTGGGCCAACCGGCTACCTCAAACATATCCAGGTTAGGTTGAACCAGCTTCGTAGTACAGGCCTCTGGTCTTAAAATCTCATAACATCAGCTTTTAATTTTCCTCTTGGATGTTCTTCTTGACCCTCAGAAAAGGAGAAAATGTTGAATCGTGTCTTTCAGGCATGTCCTTTCCTAACAAAAATTACAGGAAACATAAAACATATTATTGCAGAACAAGTGTGTTATTTATGAAAGAGGTGTGTTTGTGTTTAGGGGCTGTAGATATAATTATGTTGTAATTGTAATGTTTTATTTTATTTCAACAGTGAGCTACAAAGACAATCAGATTATGAATGAACAGTATGAAATTCATCAACATTGAAATATATTTTATTATCAAAATAATATTTAACTGTTATCAAAACTTAGTGCAACTGTAGAAGCTTGCTCTGTTGTCTCACTGAAATAATAACTTTTACCACGTTTTTTACAGACAATATTGAGAGATAAATAGTAGCAGTTCTCACTATGTGTTAAATAGCTTTGCCTTCAATACCTTAAATTAGAAAGCTGACAAAGTAATATTGCTTGTTAACATGTAACCCTTTGCATGGAAAAACCCCTCAACTTCACTGATGTGTAGGTGATCTAGTATTTAGTATTGTTTAATGGAATGTATATCAGTGTATTAAAGTCAATACTTCATTTATTTAAACCAATATCTTTCTTGATTCTTTGTACAGTATGAAAAAAGAGTATTTGTACCTGTGCTGAAGTTCACTGCTGTGAGGAGTCCAGTTCTGTCTCTCACTCTCTGGTCCAGCCTGTCTGCATCACCTGGAAACTTTAAACAAACAGATATATATGTAAAGAACCATGTGTACAAACAATATAACTTATTTTCTTCTGTTGAACATGTTGGATTGTGTATTGTCCGAGTCAGGGTCCTTTTTATTTTACTGTAACTTTGGAAGTTGTGTTACCAATGCTTACTGTTTATTTGATACCAATTTGGTAATACAATTAATAAAAACAACAAGATTTGGGTTTGTTCTTCAGATATGACTGACGTTAACGTGTAAGCTCAATAATGAACTCCAGCTCAACCAACCATATTGTAATATCCAAGTAATCATCTTGAAATATGACATTAATAATTGTAATATACGCACATCTTATTGTGAGGTTGATTTCACATACACTACTTCGACGTTAGCTTGTCTACATACTTGAGCATAGCGGATTTAAATTAACCTTAGCGATGCATACAGTTCCTACCTACATAATAAAATATCTCTCTAAGTTACAAGGATGACCTTATTTTACCAACCTCAAACAGAAGCCGTTTGTTCTACAGTATTATCCCACTTAACGCTTAACACTTGTCTATTTCGTTTTAACCTTCATATATACAGTCTATGGTTTTAACTTGCAGGCTATTAGCATCGTTAGCACAGATGTAGCTACCACTCGCTTACACGCTAACCCAAGCCTTAACATTCATTACGTAGCTGATTAAAATCATAAACACATAAATAAGTACTCGAATTTCACTTACCGCAAAACCGCATTCATGCACCGTCTGTTTTAACCGCAGAGCGAGTCACAATAGTCCGATATAAGCATGAAGACACGGACCGTTAGCCCCGCAGTCATCCGGTTCGACCTGACTATGGCTGTGACTGTGGGTGTTTCTCAATCGCGAGTACGCTTGCTTGGTAGCACATGTCTGCCGAGCATCTTGCTTCAGAAGCGAGTCAAGAATACTTCCTGGCATTCGGAAAACGAAGTGTGGAACACGCTAGCAAGTGTGCAGGTGTGCGTCATATGAGAGGCCCCGCCTTACATCTTCCGCCACAGATTTGGGGAAATTGGTCCGTGCGCAAAGCATTGTGGGGATTTTAAGACCGCGGAGTCTACTCATGTGCAGCCTCGATATTTCTCCAAACGGAGTACGCCGGGCTCGGTAGATTTCCAAGTATGCTGGAGATTGGAACAGTACTTCGGCGGCACTCGATGACGTAGTATGCTTGAAATAGTGGCTCTGAAGCAGCTTTACTCGCGATTGAGAAACACCCCCTGTGTGTGACTGACCCGAGCCTCGTCGTTGTGATAGCTCCGCCCCTTCGCTCCAACCCCCCTCCCTCCCCCCACATCTACAGGTGAAAATTACTTTTGCGACACATTCATCGCAAAGTGTAGCAAAAGTCAAGGCCGCAGATTCGTCGATTTATACTGCCACAGAGCAGATTCGTGAAGTTGTAATGACTGATTTGAGAGGTTGTAATAACCAAGTTGCAGTTGTAATGGAAAATATATTTAAAAAATATATATTTTTCTGCAAGTGAACATTTCATCACTAAGTTCATTTTTTTTCTACAAGCTACAAAACTTTTATTTTTATTCTGTGACTTCAAATTTGGTTCACAGATACATGGATATTTTATACAAGTGTAAATGTATGCACACAAACTCAGATTTTTTGAAGTACTCACATCAGGTTTTACACGCTCTCGCATTTTGCACCATATCTACCTTCATAACACTCAAGGCTGTTTTGGGGCGGTAGTTTTGTCCACTCAGCAATGTGAGTTCCCATTTCAGCCTCACAGTGCTCTCTGTGCTCAGTGCACCGTAGAGCTGCATGTACCCCCCCCCATCCCATAAGACTTACACCGAAAAATAACTTGTAGTGCGTATCCAATGTGCTCCAGCTGGACGGCTGACGAAGACGACGGAGGGAGAGGAGCAGCTAGTGGATCCCGGCTGAAAAGTGAAGACGACTTCTCTGGAGCGACGGGACCGACAGCAGCCTGACGCCAGCCCCGTGTTTAGGATCCCGTTTGGGGTGAGTATCCGCACTGTGTCACGAGAACTCGGTTCCTATGTTTGTGTGACCGAGGTGGATAAGGATTTTTGCAAAAACAAACATTGGTGGAAAGTGTATTTATTTATTCAAGTACTTTTGAAGCTCTTACTGCTGTAGTTCACTTTATCGCTGTACCTCTACTCCACTATGTCAAAGGGAAACGTTTAGTTTACTTTCCTTTTAGAGCTAGTTAATGGTTACACTTTGTTTGAAGTTATTTAACAGTAAAAACAGGAATAGCTCCAACATAACCTCCTACAGCATCAAGTTAAACTTACATGCATCTATAATAATGACAACTATAGGAATACTATATCAAGCCTCCTATATTGTTGTATTACTCTTATTAACACTCCATGGGACTATGCTTAAGTGGATGTTGGTACTTTTTCCTGACTTTTTTTATATAATACTTTGCTTGATTAGACATAAGACATAGTCTTTTTACCCAGTGGCATGACTACTTTAATTAAATACAGGATGCATTTCCACAAAAACACTATGTCTTTAATGTTACTTAAATGTATAATCAAGCAAAGTAGTATATGAAAAAACAAATTCAATCACCATTCAATATTGGAGTGATCCAATATTCAAAAATGTTTTACGTTTTTGATCTACACATTTATTTGCCTTTAAAGAACTGTGTGTTACAGTTTTGTATTTATGTTTTCATTTTCCACCTTTGTTTTGAAATGTTTTCCTCCTTGTGTCTTCTCTGTTCCTTCTTCCTGTGTTTGCCTTCCTGTCGTTAGTTTCCCTGGTGTGTCTGATTGTCTGATTGTGTTCACCTGTTGCCCTTGTGTTTCTGCCTCCCTCACCCCAGCTGTGTCTTGTCTTGTGATTACCCCTCCCTGTATTTAGTCTGGTCTTCCCCTGTGTGCCTTGTCGGTTCATTGTTGGTTTTTCCTGTCTCCCTCCATGTTGGTCACGATCGTTTTTGGTATTGTATCTTCCTCGTGTTACCTATGTGTTTCATGCAATGTTATTTACGTTCATCAGCTTTTTTATTAAAGCTCACTTTTGTTTTGAAACCCGCTTCCCTTTTAATCTGCATTTGGGTCCTACCTTTTGCCGAACCTTAACACTGTGGTGGGAATTTATTTATCAAATGTGGATAGAGAATCAAACCATTCAGCCGTCTTTGTCATATTTAATTTCTTGCAAGAAAGTTGAGTCAGTCATACAGAGAGCATACAGTATGCAGAGTGACAGACAATCGAGTTTGGGTTGCATATTTAAAGGGGACCTATCATGCAAAATGCACTTTTGTACGTCTTTTATACATGAATATGTGTCCCCGGTGTGTCAGGGAATTCACCAATTGTCAGAAAACACAACCCTCTCTCTTTTCCTCCATACCCAAATCTCTAAAAACGGGGCTGCAACGGAGCTGATACAGTCTGATACAGATTTGAAATTGTTCTGACGTCAGAAACGGGGAGCTCCGCCTATATGGGCAACTCTCCACCTATCAGGAGACAGCCACGGCCATTGCCGCTCGAAAGTGCTGGAGACGCTGTAGTACATATGCCAGGCCTGTAAGTGGCGCTGTAGTCTGCCACAAAAGCAGCGAAGAAGACTTCTCACAGAATCAGCCCTTGCAAAAACAAGGCTAAAAAAGAGCAAATAGAGCGAAATGAGGCATGGCTAAAATGCATGATCTGTTTGGTATTTTGAAAAAAAAACTTCACAGACATGTTTTATATAGGTATGGCCCTACAATATATTATTAGATGATAGCATGATAGGTCCACTTTAAACAAAGAGAGAGGAGACAAGGAGGGGGTGAGGTTGGTGATACTGAAAGGAGCATTCTGGAAGTTAGGGAGGTAGGGAGGTAGGGAGGCCATATCAGGATGTTCTCAGTTCACCTGAGTTAAAGGTCATACTGTTGGTGCACATAGAGTGTAACTAACAACATTGCAACAAATCTTCTTAATAAGAAATGTTCCCAAGCTTAGCTAAGATGTGTGAGGAGTAGTAAACATTGGCAAATAAGAATCACACAATGATATTATTTAAGTAAGTGAGTATAATATTTTTCTATTACAAGAACTTGCACAACAAATACAGAAGAGACAAAACAAAATATCACATAATAGGCATGTACAATAATACACAGAGGTGGATGAAGTACTCCGATCTTTTACTTGAGTAAAAGTAGAAGTACCAGAGTGTAGTAATACTCTGTTACAAGTAAAAGTCCTGCGTTCAAAATGTTACTCAAGTGAAAGTACTAAAGTATTTGCATCAAAATATTATAAGTAAAAGTACTTATTATGCAGATTGGTCCATTTAATTATAATATATATCATGTGTCTTGATTATTGATGCATTAATGTGTTATCAAAGCTGGTAAAGGTGCAGCTAGTTTTAATTACTTTTTAGGCTGTAGGGTAGCTTGTGAATTTACTCCAAGTGTAACTAAAGTCTTATTTAAGTTTTGATTATAGTTCACACCTTTAATCCAAATCTGTAAATTAACTAAAGGTATTCAATAAATGTAGTGGAGTAAAAGTGCACAATTTACCTCTGAATTAGAGTAGAAGTCAAATGTAGCATAACATTGAAATACTCAAGTAAAGTACAAGTATCTCAAAATTGTACTTGAGTAAATGCTCTTAGTTACTTTACACCACTGATAATACATATATGAATACACACAACTCAGAAGCCAACAAGAAAACTCAGAAAGAAAAACACAAATTGAAAACTACAAGAACCAGATCACTCATGAATACTTGCTTGAGTTTAATGACATGTAGATGTCACAGAGTTTTTCTCTTGCTTTGCAGGATCGGTCACCTGCTGCCTTGAAAGTGCTACACTGAGAAGTTGCATCACAATGGAGACAATCATCAGCAGCCCTGCATCGCACAACCAGTCGTCGGTGTTCACCACAATATTCAACTCGAGCTGTCGCTTTGATGAGGAGTTCAAATACATCCTGCTGCCTGTGTCCTACAGCCTGGTGTTTGTGGTGGGCTTCGTGCTCAATGCCACCGCTCTGTGGGTGTTCCTGCAGATGCGCCCGTGGAACCCCAGCACCGTGTTCATGTTCCACCTCGCCCTGTCCGACTTCCTGTACGTCCTCTCCCTGCCAACCTTGATCTACTACTACGCCAACCGCAGTCACTGGCCCTTTGGAGTGGTCGCCTGCAAAATAGTGCGCTTCCTCTTCTATGCAAACCTCTACTGCAGCATCCTCCTCCTCACCTGCATCAGCGTGCACCGTTACCTGGGCATCTGCCACCCAATCAAGGCGCTGACCCTTGTGAAGTCCCGCCATGCCCACCTGGTGTGCGGCATGGTGTGGGTCATGGTGAGCGTGTGCCTGGTGCCCAACCTCATTTTCGTCACCACCTCCAGGAGGGACAATGACACCCTGTGCCATGACACCACCAGCCAGGGGGCCTTTGAGGAGTATGTGGACTACAGCTCTGTGGTCATGGTGCTCCTGTTTGGCGTCCCGTTTCTGGTCATTATGGTGTGTTACTGCTTGATGGCGCGGGCGCTGTGCCGACCCAGACAGGGATTGTCTTCCAGCCAGCAGGGCACCGCCACAAGTCAGAAGTCCATTAAACTCATCATCGTGGTGTTGGTGGTGTTTGCTGTGAGCTTCGTTCCATTTCACATCACACGGACGCTCTACTACACCTCCCGTGTGTTGAATCTTGACTGTAAATTCCTCAACATTGTCAACTTTACTTACAAGATCACCAGGCCTCTGGCCAGCATCAACAGCTGTATTGACCCAATCCTGTATTTCATGGCTGGGGACCACTACCGGTCCAAAATGATATCTGTTCTGAGAGCAAGAAGACAGACGACAAGCAGCCAGACACCTGAACGTTCACAAACACGGCCGAAAAATCACCATGACATCGCTCTGGCGTATAAAAACACAGCTCTTAAAGCCAGTGAAGATTCTGAGTAATAGTGGGAACTATTGCATGAATCTGAAGTATTTGTCTTCGAACATTTGTAACTGCTCAAACTGTGGCATCTGTTTGTTCTTCCTTTTTTTTTTGTACTGAAAAATGTAGAAGATAATTAGTTTACTGTACCATTAACTTACAGTATATGCTTTCAATTCATCAATGTTGTGTAATGCCTGTGTTCAACAGGCATAAAGACCATGTTTTAATTTCCCTCACTCTTTTGAGGTTACTGTGTTTGTGTGGGAAGGAGTGTGAACTCTTTCCTTACTTACAACCCTTCTACCACAATTGGATTATAAGTCAAAACACAACTTATGAAAGACAGTATTCACGCTGCTGTATACTGTATTTTGTGAGGATAGAAAGAATAACAGTATAAAATGGCAGAAGAAATCTTTACTTTTAAATTATGGGAACAGAAACTGAGCAACTTTGTTAGTTGTTCACAGCTGCCTTGAAGTAAATTATAGTAACTGAATTGTTGTCATCAATTTGACCATTACTGATCTAAGTGTTAAAGTTCATTTCTGACGAAAGACGACAGACAGTCTGGCTATTTTCTCAGAAATGAGGAAATTATGAGGCAATCCAATGTCAGTGTGTTACCCAGAAACTGCAGCTATCGTCAGTTCTGGGTCCCAGCTGTTTTTGTCCTTCAACTTTCACAGCTGTCTTTTGTTTGACTGTGGAGTAAAAGCAAAGAGACTGCTCTGAACGAGACATATCTTTTCAAACCACCCACGCCCCATTCGAGGGATAAGAGATTTTCCTATTTTCCCTTTTACCTTTGGGATTGATACATGGAATGTTAAGCCCGTTTTTTTCTTGATGGTTTTTGCAACATGTGAAAGCAGCGTTCAAAACTTAATTACAGAGCATTTCTCCCTCCGCACTGGTTTTTATTGTTGACATACTGTATGAACCAATGCTGTAGCAGATGTATTCATAAAGCTATGCGTCACATGTTGTGCTTGTGATATTTGGTGTGAGCACTGTCTTTGAAGATGTATTTGTAATGACAGTTAGATATGTAATAAAGTGTTACATAATAAGTAACTGGTATGTACTGTATGCAATGTATCATTATCACATTATGCAACGACTGTTTCCTCTCTTGCCAGGGTGAATATCTTGTGATATCACTAAGCTCTGATTTCTTCTTCTATAACTCACACTCAGGAAAAGAGTGATGTAAAGTGATCTATGAATTTAGGGTACAGCATCATATCTGCCAGTTCTGAAAACCTTAAATACATGTGTTTAGTCAGACTGAAACTAACACAGCTCGCTGTCAGTGAGGACAGTACTACTGTCGTTAAGTACAATTTAAAGTACTTTTACTGAGTGTTTCCCTTTCCTGGTCCTATATTCTTGTACTGTATAATTCTGAAAGGGAAATATTGTATTTTTTTCTCCACTACATTTATCTGATAACTTCATTTAACTTTAAGATTCAGATGAATAGGAGAACATATAACAATAATAATCCATAAGTATATCTCAATACAATAATATATACTTTTCTTACATGGGCTGTTGTGCAGAATGAGTACTTTTACTTTTGGTTCCTCATTATATTTAAAGTTTAAAAATGCAGGATGTTTCGTAGAGTATTTTTACACTGTGGTATTACTTGTTAAACTAAGTAAAGGGTCTGAGTATTGCATGCACTACTGCTTGCTGTTACTGAATAGGTGCAGTGTATCTGATGAAGTGCAGGCAGAATTCTTTTTGAAATCTTCAATCAGTCAGAATGAGGGAGTTATGCGAAAGCAGAAGGACATGAGATAATGCCGATTGCATTATGCAGTGCTATGTACACAAGATATAGTTCAATGCGGAACACCAAAAAAAATGCAGATATTTAACTTTCATTAGAGTTGTTGACTGTTTTGATATACTGCTCCATATTGTCTGCAAACAATGGATGATTAGACACAAATTATGTTGCCAGTCATTTCTGATCTCTTCAAAACTGAAGTTAATTACTGAGTGTATCTCAAAACTCTTTACTATAAGTAACCAGCCTTCAAAACGTTCTTTTAACCAGCATCCCACTTTTATACTTCATAGTCAAGTCCATTTCATTTCATTTAATCGTTTATTTGAAGAGGGACAGTGCACATTGATGAACATTTAAAACAAATAATGCTTTAAAAACGTAAACATGCCGGATTTTAGCTTTGAGCTAGTTTCCATCCGTAGTCCCTCACATACAACATTTAAGAACATGACATTTATATACATAGTAAAATAAATACATGATATGCAGAAAGAGCATGAGCAGCATATAAGCATTTACTACATGGCAGTACAATGTAGCAGCTACGACATATAAAGTGCAGGAGAAGATAAAAGGGCTACATCAAGTGCAAGAGGAGATGCCCCTGTATTGAAGTGCATCTAGCGGTGATTGCACGTTTGTTTGTTTCTCAACCATTCTTTGAGTTGATCTTTAAAACTGTTCAAAGTGGGACAATCCCGTATCAAATCAAATCAAATCAAAGTTTATTTATAAAGCATATTTATAAAGCACATTTAAAAGCGATTTTTGGTCGGGCCAAAGTGCTGTACATGTAATAAATACGTATGCAGTTGGGAGGCTATTCCACAAAGAGCTGCCCTTAATTGATAGAACATTTTGACAGAAAGTGGTCCGTCTACGGTGGATTTCACAGTCTCCTCTGGTTTCTGACCTAGTGCAGCGTCCAGTGTGTTTTTTGTGGATGAATTCCCCTAAGGGAGGGGGGGCCAGTCCATGTAAACATTTATTAAAAAAACACATACTTTTAAAAGACTTAAAATTGTCAAAACTCAAGAAATTGTGTTTTTCAAGGATGGTACAGTGGTGGTATGAATATGGCTTTCTGTCAAACACCTTGATAGCTCTCTTGTACAGCTGTTCTATGGGTTTCAGTTTTGTGGCACAAGCAAACGACCAGTTTGTCAAACAGTATTCAATGTGGGATAGAATCATACAGTGGAGGTATGACTTTGCAGCATTGACAGTTAAGAAAGGTATCATTTGTTTAAAATTTTGCAAGTTGAATTTAACGGTATTGGATACTTTCTTGATATGTTTCTTAAAAGTCAAGTTCGAGTCCAGTATGACTCCAAGATACTTGAAGTGGGGGACTAGTTCTAATTCTGCTCCGTTTAAAAACACATTGGATCCTTCGATTTTGACTGGTCGTTTACTATCATGCATACTGTTTTTTTTGCATTTAACTGTAAGCAAATGTTGTTCAGCCAGTGTTGAACCTTGTCCCAATTATTTGAGAGACAGGATGTGATTATTTCAGTATTTTTCCCATGTACAAAGATCACCGCATCATCGGCATACATTTGTACATTCAAATCAGGACATACATTAGGCAAGTCATTAATGTACAGAGAAAACAGTAATGGTCCAAGAATGGAACCTTGTGGAACCCCAACAGGGTTCACAAGGTAGGGGGATTTGGTACCGTTGACCAAAACACACTGTTTTCTGTTTGATAAGTAAGATGTAACCCACTGTATTGAATCTGCAGAAAAATTGAAATACGTCAGCTTTGTAAGGAGCACTTGGTGGTCAACAGTGTCAAAAGCCTTCCTGAGATCAAGGAAGACAGCACCTACATATGGGCTTGTGTCCAACATACATTTAACCTTTTCCACAAAGACACAGTTAGCTGTCTCAGTGGAGTGGTGAGCACGAAAACCAAACTGCATTGGGTGGAGTGGAGCGAAACCTTTATCTAAATGTTTGGTGATTAGTTTTGACACCCATTTCTCAGCTATCTCACAGGGGAGGATGCTGATTGGTCTGTAGTTGGACATTATTGCCTTATCCCCAGATTTAAAGATCGGTGTCACCGTGGCCACCTTCCAGGATGATGGAACTTCCCTCGTGCTAATAGATTTCCACCATCTCTTAGCATGTAAAACAGAAAGAGGAGACAGTGACTAAGATCTGATTACTTGACACATCCTCTAATTGTAAAATAATTAAGGGGTCAGATAAAGGTTTTTAAAAGTTTGCATATGTCAGCTCTGTTCCCTTTAAACAGTTCACCTCACTGTGAATGGCACATTTGCCTCTGTTAAACAGTCCTTCTATAACTCACACTCAGGAAAAGAGTGATGTAAAGTGATCTATGAATTTAGGGTACAACATCATATCTGCCAGTTCTGAAAACATGTGTTTAGTCAGACTGAAACTAACACAGCTCGCTGTCAGTGAGGACAGTACTACTATCGTTAAGTACAATTTAAAGTACTTTTACTGAGTGTTTCCCTTTCCTGGTCCTATATTTTTGTACTGTATAATTCTGAAAGGGAAATATTGTATTTTTTTCTCCACTACATTTATCTGATAACTTCACTTAACTTTAAGATTCAGATGAATAGGAGAACATATAACAATAATAATCCATAAGTATATCTCAATACAATAATATATACTTTTCTTACATGGGCTGTTGTGCAGAATGAGTACTTTTACTTTTGGTTCCTCATTATATTTAAAGTTTAAAAATGCAGGATGTTTTGTAGAGTATTTTTACACTGTGGTATTACTTGTTAAACTAAGTAAAGGGTCTGAGTATTGCATGCACTACTGCTTGCTGTTACTGAATAGGTGCAGTGTATCTGATGTTGGAGAAGTGCAGGCAGAATTCTTTTTGAAATCTTCAATCAGTCAGAATGAGGGAGTTATGCGAAAGCAGAAGGACATGAGATAATGCCGATTGCATTATGCAGTGCTATGTACACAAGATATAGTTCAATGCGGAACACCAAAAAAAATGCAGATATTTAACTTTCATTAGAGTTGTTGTTGACTGTTTTGATATACTGCTCCATATTGTCTGCAAACAATGGATGATTAGACACAAATTACGTTGCCAGTCATTTCTGATCTCTTCAAAACTGAAGTTAATTACTGAGTGTATCTCAAAACTCTTTACTATAAGTAACCAGCCTTCAAAACGTTCTTTTAACCAGCATCCCACTTTTATACTTCATAGTCAAGTCCACCATCTCTTAGCATGTAAAACTGAAAAAGGAGACAGTGACTAAGATCTGATTACTTGACACATCCTCTAATTGTAAACTAATTAAGGGGTCAGATAAAGGTTTTTAAAAGTTTGCATATGTCAGCTCTGTTCCCTTTAAACAGTTCACCTCACTGTGAATGGCACATTTGCCTCTGTTAACAGTCCTGTCATGTAAGCTCATGAGCGCCTCCCTGTGGCGGGTGTTGACAGGAAGTTGCATTCAGGTCATGGAAGTTCAAATTTTCAGTAGAGCGTCTCAAATAAAATTATGAGAAAACTTTTTGCAGGAAAACAACCACATTTTCTTGTCATTTTTGTATGGTAAAAGTGCCTGCTGGGTATTTAGGCCCTGGACGTGTCAGAGACCAGAGGAAAGTAGCCTATAAACGCTTCAGAAACACGGTAAGATTTAAGTTCAGGACATTCAAGCTATTAAACTGCTGAAAAACGCTGTGAATGTGTGAAGTTGCAAAGTATTTAACATTGAATCACCAACATGGAAACATAATGTAGCAGGCCTTCATGAGAGCACGCAGACATATCCATCGACTGGGCTTAAGTTGCAACACACTCATGGATGCAACATTTCATATTAAAACTCGTTTTTATTTTAATTCTAAACATATTTAGGAGCCTGGCCTTCTATGGTATGAGTGGTGTTTGTAATTTGTCGATTGACACCTAGAGCAGGTGACGAGTGTTAAAATGGAGGCCACCCATGATTAAAATGACCAAGGAAAAGCAGAGCATTGTTGATATTGCAAACATGTTTTATTACTTAGCGAATGCCTCTAATCAACTTGATCTGATCGGTGAATTGTGCAAAGTTGTTGAATTACTGTTCTCAGCAAGTTGCATCCTCTCAGTTTGTATGGTTGACTTGCTGGCTTTGGCCTTGTTGTGTTGATCTCAGAAAAGTTAGCTTTTTGGAAATTCTCCTTGAAGGATTAAAAGCATCTGGATTTAATTGAATAGTATTGAGCTAGGCTACATTACTTTTTAGTGACTTTGAA